AGCTGTTGTTCTTCAGCTTGAGGATACGGCCAGCTGCTCTACGGAAAGGAAACTACTTAATAAAAAGCTGAGTCGTTTTACAGGCTTCACTGGAATTTGAGGTCAGGTTATCTCCATCTAGCCGTTACTTTCCGTGAACGGTGTTGCTTCGTTCAGTTCGTCCTATTTGATCGGCAAAACCCCTTGGCCACATGGTGAACAGGCACGGCCAGGCAAACCGGAGCTCTTCCATGGACGTGACTCCACGCTGTGGCAACGAGTCGTGTCTTCTTCTGCGCACGTCGAGACCTCCGAGGGCCCACGCTGCAATATGAATTGCAAATGCCCCTCCTCGGGGGAAGCTGCTCGGGCAAAGGGGCCCCACTATCTGTTCTGTAAGTAGATGGTAATGAAAATTAATCAGGACAAACGTTAACTCAGTTTTATTTACTTGCTCTGTTCCACATACAGGAAAACAAATCTTCACGTACTACTCACAGCGTCAGCTAATTCTCAATAATGGTACTGATTTTTTCTGATGACTTCTTACTAGGTTGTTTAAAGACACTTGCAAATCAAAGAGTTATGTCTCATCCCTTCAAAAAAATGCATTTTATTTAAAGAAAGAGACTTGGAATTAGTTTTCACTCCCAAGTCAACTCCGAACGTTTCACAAAATCCCTCTTCAAAATAATTCACGAGTCCTACAATACAGACAATATTATCAGAGGCCCCAATGCTTCCACACCTGAATTAAATCTATATTATAGGAGGGGGAGGAAAGAGAGAAATTAATGGAAGATGTGGCTGTTAGGAAAAAATCCACAGCATTTTCCAGCTGAGACTGCCTGGGGAAATAATTCTAGCTTTGGGAAATACAGAAATTACTTTTTAATAAAGTTATAAATAAATAACTTTTTCGGGAGAGTTAATCAGAAACGGATTTAGAAATAATATTCAATAGACTTTGCTTTGTTGAAGAGAAATATATCAAATATATTTCTGACAGTGTCGCTGTCAGACAGAAAGATTCCGTGTCATCGTGACAAAGTCTTGTCTCTAGTGGCTGTCAGGGGTTGGTTCTCTTCCGCCCAGACGGGATGGGAGGTAGGACAGGTTTGGAGTGGGAGCCTGGCCAGCTGCTGAGCTGAGGCACACGAGAAGAACTGGTCTTGGACTTGCTGTATTTCCTCTGAAGATCGTCACTAGGGAGTCCAGTCTCTGCAGAAATTACAATCAAGCGAAGAAGCACTGAGAGGGCATTTATTTCAATGAAAAGTCAAAATTTACCACAAAGCATATCCCCAGGTGAAAACCCAGTGTTTCAGGGGGGTGGTGGGGCAAGAGTAGTATCTTGACTATCTATGACTGCTCTACCTCATACCTGTGGAAGAGTAGCTTGAGGCCTAAGCAGTCACCAGTTTTAATTTCTCCAAAAGTTCGCTGAGAGAAAGCTGCTGTATTGAGTGTGCTGCCTTCGCACCGTGGGGGGTTCTGCCACATCGTAACACTGCTGCTCGAAAGGGTGGCATGAGCAGAGGCGTGAAGAAGCCGCCCTGTCACCCAACCAGAGCCGCTGTCCTTCCAGCGAGACACACAGCCTGAGCAAAACTGTGATTTTGGAATACGGTTCAAACCTTTCAATCTATCCTTTCCGTTTTCAGCTCCTCTTGGATGCTCAGCTTTGGCTTCTTCAGTGAGGCGAGCGTGGGGAACAGGGGTCCGAACCCGCAGACCTTCAAGAGCAGCGGCACCAGCTGAGGGTGGAAATCGTTCATTAGCAGGACCAGATTCTCTGGAGCTGAGAGAGGGAAAAGATTCATGCTTTAAAACAGCCATAAAAAAATCACACGCACCAAGTCTGACAGGATGACTGATGGTGCAGTCACACAACTCAGTCAAAAGTCAGAAATAAATCCCAGTACCGATCAGTTACACGAAGCTTTTTCACACAATTCTCTCAAAACTTCTAGTGATGGCAAACACCACTACTACCTCTCGCAATTTTCATAATCGATTTAATTAACCAGTCACACAGGCAGGTGCAAGGAAGAGGTTCATGCCACGCAGTGAATCAGCTTCAGATCTGAGACCAGGACTCGCAGCTCCTCGTTTCCAAATCTGTGGGTCAGCACTGCAGACGATGCTCTCTCTTGGTGAGCGAAAGGAAACAGGAATTGCCTCGAAAGGAAGCGTTTCTGTAGCACTCCAGTGACGACACAGACCATTTACTTTACCAGTGAGCAGCACCCAAGGCACCTCTGACCTGTCATATGTCTTGCAGAAAATCTGCTCAAAGCCAAAGCCTGAGTGGTCTGAGACCTTGCCAATGATAATGAACATGTTCTCGCTTGTTCTGATAAAGGCGTCCCATTTCCATCCATATTCTACCCATTTACTCCAAGAAAAGCAAGGAAAAGGCCTTGATTGATACGGAGAGATCAATAACCACCTATTTAATGCAAAACTAATATATTACTGGAGCAATGCTTAAGACATTTCATAATGTCTCTCTTCACCCAAAAAGGACTGTTCTGGTCTAGGTGAGAGAAACCGATTCACAGATTTATGAACCTGGGAGGAAGTTCCAAGATGATCCACCCTGACCTTCTCCATGGTGCAGGCCAAAAGAATTTCATCCTGTCGTTCTTGCAAGGAGCATTTTAGCTTGTGAGAATACTGTGATTACAGTGTTCTGGGGAAAAGAGGATATTTCAGTGGTATTTTAATAAATCCATACAATAAGAAGAATGGATCACGAATAATGAGATAAAATAGTGTGGTACTCCCATAAGAAACAGGTAATTATCTTGTCACTCGAGGTACTGTGGAAGTCTCTGAGAATTTTCCCTTCAAGGTAAAGGAATATTAAATCCTGTGATGTACTGAGGGCTTGCGTCTTCCTCTGAGGTCCACTGCATCCAAGGATGCTCATCAAACTCTGAATGCTCTAGCCAAGCGCTTAACCCTAGTCGTAATCTCATTTTAGCTGCCTGTAATACGTGTCAGATATAACTGTGGTAGGGATAAGAAGTCACTAGGAGTAGTAAATCCAAGCTCAGTGTAAACAGCAGCTTAGACTCTTCAACAACATCTATTCCAGTTTCTAAAAGGCTGACTACTTCTGCTTTTGCTTCAGAGAACACAGTCACACATCTGCCTGCAAATAAAGGTTAAAAGTAGATACCATGGAGTTAGAATTATCCCCCTGTGGGTCTCTAGCCACAACTGAGACATAATCCAGCACCCTAAGGTGCTCAACAAAAATCTTCATTGCCTCTCTCCCCAGCTGTCCCTTTCTGAAAGGGCAGAAGACAAGGTCAACTGTGGGAGATGATTTGCATATCTCTTGGCAGGGTGTAAAGGGGAGGTAGATTCCCAGGCTTTTCTAGCACAAGTGTCACAGGAAACATTTCATTTAATTAAGGTTTCTTGTAAACCTCCTCAATGAGAATAACATCAAAAATAAGTGGGAAAACTAGAGCCTACGGGGTCTCTGCCATCTAGATGTCCGAGGTATCTGGGAGCGGCGGGGCAGAGGAGCTGAGATCCTACCTCTCCTTTGTGCTTTTGCCAGGTGACCTGTGAATGAGTTTGGATAATCCAACTCTAGTCCTTCCCTGACACCCTCAGCACAGTATAGGTGAAGCAGGCAAGTGTCCTGACTTTAAAGCTTCCCCTCTAGTAAAATTTCCCATCAGCTAAATGGAAAAGAAATGAAAAACAGGAAGCTTGAAAAAAACCCCGGTATTATCTCACGGAATGATGAGATAAATGGATTCTGTGTGCACTAAATACAAAACACGTCAGTAACGAGTTGAGAAGTAAAGCACTGGACTGCCACAGATTCTGTTCAGATTATGGTTGCACCGGACTGCCAAACCCTAACATATATCATTGCACATGATGTCATAATATTTCATTTGATGGTGGGTTTTTTTTTTTTCCATTTGATTGTGTTTGGCAGGAATGGAGACGTGTAATTAAACATTTGAGACAGTTCCTTGTTCAATGCACTGGCCAATGTAGGTGAGGTTCTTGTTCCACCCTCGAACTTGCAAATAGTGAAGGTACGGTAACAGGTTAAGAAGTTAAGTTTCTACTCTCCAACTCATTACATTTTGCTCCTCCTCTCTTCTCCTCCCCTTGTAATGCTGTAACCAGATCACTTCAATATCCTTACAAACACCTCTACCTGGTAAAAGTGAGTAATGAAATACAGCAGACAGGGACCTAAAGAATTGATCATTGCCCGTGGTGAGGAGCAGTCCTTTCAAGTACAGCCGTAAGATGTATTGCCCTAGAGGACTGCTCCTCACCACGGGCAATGATAAATTGTTTAAGCCTATGAGTGAAAACAAATGGAACCTCAGGCAAAAAAAAAAATCCACCTTTTCATGTGTGGGAGAGTTCAGCCTCCAGCAGAGGACTTAAAAAATTCCTGGAAACTGGCATGGTGCTTCCTTATCTGAAATCTGGAAAGGCTCGGTCATCGTAGGTTACTTCCAAGGAGAAGACCAGGGTTGTGGTCTTATCAATGAAAAGAAGCCATGGATGTAATTAGAAAGTGCAGGTCAGTGGGCAGACATCCAAACAAAACCTTTCATTTTCACTCTTCGGTAATAAATGCCACCAGGATCGGCTGTTTTACTTGCAGACCAGAAGTAACGGAACAACTGCAGGGCTTGAATCCCACAAGTGTTTGTGACCTGAAGAATAACGGTGCCGCTTCCACCACAGCTCAAGCTTAAAGAAAAACTGCCAAATTTGAGAAATAATGCAAAAAATCTGGGACATGGACACAGTGTTGACCAGTGAGATATCAGCCTAATCTGCAGTCCTCGATCTTGGAAAACAATATTTCCTTCATGGGCTGTGCCTGGAGGTCAATACATTCATGCTCTTACCCCTTGATGGCTTTTTTTAGCTTACTCCTTCTTCCATTCCAAATGTTGAAAGCATAAAATTGGAGAGAAAGAAAAAGAAAATATTAAACCACCTCAATATTCAAACAAAATCACTACAGGCTGTACTGCAATACTTCAGAAACGTGGGATTTTTCTTACCAATACTTCAAATGCCTCTACACAACAGCGTTTCCATCAATCATGCCGACAGGCAAATTTCTTCCAAACTTTCCGTATTTCCCTTGCAAAAAGGATTCCACAACGTGCCTCTCTACAGTTTTGCTGTAGGCCACGATGCACGCACAGCAAACGAATCAGATTAGCAGTTTGCTTTTTCTCTCCTCGCAGTTGTTTTTCCACGGTGTTATTAACAGTGCTAAACGAAAACACTGCTAAAGTCAAAACACCAAAATGTGGTGGAGTGGAAAGACATATTTATTCCCATATGCGAAGGGTAAGACCTTTACAACTCATCATAGCTTCACGCTCATTGGAGTTCTGTGTCTTGCCTCTTACTGGTAAGGACAGATGAAGCACAATCCCTCGGCAACTTATTCCGCACGCCGTTTCTCTCACAGGCTCACTCCGTTTCCCCTTCAGCACGCTCCTCGGTGGCACAAATACTCGGGACAAAGGAATCTGCAGAGGCCTACGGTTTCGACCTTTTTACAGCAGGCTAATTAACGACTTGTAATTACAGCGGCAGGCAGTACATCACACAGAGGGAACTGGCAGTCTCTCTCGCATGTAAAAGGAACGCTGAGAGTGTTTTTTCAACAGCGAGCTTAGCTAAGAATTCTGCTTCACGGAGGAGGAATGAAGTGAATGGGCTGGAATCTTATAAAGGTGCTGAGCATGTCTCATCCCCCTGACTTTATGTGAAAAGCTGCCGAATGTGTGTTTAGGAGTTATTTAACAGTGATTCTTACAACGATGTGAAAGCACATAGGTGACAAATGCATGGTATGGCGTGTTTAAATACAGCGGGAAAGATACCTTGGCTTGTATGGAATGGGAACAAGATATCAGACATGGGATCGAGCCCACGATCAAATTCAAGTTTACCAACAGCCATAGGGCAAAGAGACCAGCTCACTCGAAGCTGCAGCTTTCAGTCGAGCTCGGTGGCAGGCTCCGAAGAGCGAGCAGAGCGTGGCGACAAGCACACACCGATTTCCTGCTGTGGGTGGGGGATCTGGCGGGTTGTGCTTCGCGAGGTCACGCTGCGTGGCATCCGGCTGCCTCTGTGCGCCCCATCTGGGCACGAGATTACAACAGATGGCCAGAAGAGGGGGGAAAAAAAGCTCATCCAGGATGCTGCATAGAAAGGTCGCAATGTCGCTTGCCACAACAGGCTTGTTGGCAGCCAGAGCTCGGCTGTGCTTACGAAACAGGACCATCAGAGTAAGTCACAGCCACCTTCTACGAGGCAACGTGGACCCGCAGAGCAAGTGAGGAAAATACAGCTCACTTTGGAGCTGCAGGCTCCAAAGACACTGAAGATGCAGCCTCTTCACATCTTCTTCTATCCTCACCTCTCTACAAGCTTTAAATGAGACAGGAGTTGTTTCCCTCCCATACCTCAGAGCCTGTTTAGCTGCGGTACAAACAAATGAGGATGTTCATCACTCATGAGCAGAGATGCTGGACAAGATATGAAGCACAGCAGCGATGGCTGAGACAGCAAGAGAAGGTAAAGGTGTTAGAGAGCTCAGTATCCTGATGGGATCTGCTGTTATCATGGATGAGATATGAATTTGAAGAGCATGATACCACCCAGAGCCTCCCAAATGGTGTTCAACAGTAACTACGGTAATCCTCTAAAGAGAGAATGAGAACAGCAGTATTTGGTGAATTTGTTTAAAAAACATATTTATCAATCAAGTTCTGCTTTTCTATACCTGGAACAAGTTTCTTTCAGCCTCTTTTTCCCCTGAAACATCCTCTTGATAGAAAGCTCTTGAAATTCCCTTTCTGCATATGTGAATTACGGTACCTAAATGAAACCATTCCTGTGAATGATGAGACTTTGTTTTATGCTGCAGTGACACATGTTTAATAAGGCTGTTGATGTAACAGATGAGACAACTGCACTAGCCTGGGAAATGGTTTTAGGTCTTGCATATTGCAGCATTAACCTTCATTCCACCCAGCGATGATCTGCTCTCTGAAACTGAACTCACCGGCTCTCCGGGTTAGTCAGGGGGAAGCTCCGGTCTGGGGTGACATTCCTTCCACCCGAGAGCAGGGAAGCACGTGTTGTTGGTTCCAGTAATTGTTGACGGGAGCTGCTCGGTGCAGGAGTGATTGCCAGGTCCCTAAAATGATGCAAAAAGAAAATCAAGTGCTCGTTACATGCATTTGTATACCATGATAGCATAACTAGTGCCTGGGGAGTTCACAAGACCTGTTCAGATAGAGGGAGGCATCATTTCCAGTGGGAGAGAAGCAGCACTCAGCATCTGGGGGCAGTAATCCAGGCTCTGTTGATAGCCAATAAAGAGGAACAGTCACAGCTACAGGATGAATAAACTCCAGCTTAAGTAGCTATCTAAAGCGGGTTGGATGAATCACTCTCCACTGCGACAGAGCAGCGTAGGGCAACTTGTTCAGACAGAGATATTTTTATTAAAGAAAGACACCCAAAATCGGGTGAGATTAATCCCTAACTCACTAGGTGAGAGGTTTCATCTTCACTGCCATGCAGAACACCTAAAAAAAGCATTCCCGGTAACCGCAGTATTGACACCGCTTCATTTAGAGACTCGAACCACAGAGCTAAAACCAAAGGGAAGCAGCACTAAGACTGTCAAACTGTGAGGCAAACCATGAGGGGTCCTCAATGAAACGCTGAACTCATAACTCGTGGAAGATTCCACACATCCACCCACTGTACCGGAGCCATCCCACCGACACACCTCAACTGAACTCTGAAGGAATCTGTTTGTTTTTAAGGGCAATGAACCTACGCAACTTCTGCGTGGGCCATTTTCTAGTCTCCCTAGGAAGCTTGTCAGGAACATTTTTAACTGCAGTAGCAGCTGCTGAACACTTGCTCCATGAGAGAAGCTAGTTGTTTAAGGAGGGTTAGTACCTTTTCTCATTGCTTCAGTTTGGGGAAAAAACCCTCAAACTGTAAAGTTCTGCATCAAGCCCTCAACCACGTGCAGAGGCCATTAAGGCAACAAGTATACCACTGCCACTTTCCCACGGGAAACACAGAGGCTGGAATCTCAAACTGTCTTTTCACGTCTCCTCATCTTGCCCATGCAGGGTTGTTGGCCGCTTGTGGGTCTGCTGGTGCTTCAGTGACGAGGCTTTCCCCATTCCTCCTCAGAAATCAGCCCCTAGCCCAACACACTGTATGTTGCAAGCAAGGTTTTTCTACTCTTCATCTTTAAATTTCCCTTTCTTTGGTTTCTGCTTATTAATAATAGCTGTTAATAAAGTTTCCCTACTCTAAGGCCTCAAGCTGTTATTGTTTCACTGTCAAGTAACCACCAGCTGGTAATGGGGTTTGTTCCTTATTGGCTCAGATCAAAATCTGAACCAATTACAGGGAGAAAGGGCCCAATTCCATTAATGGTGCCCAGAGCTGAGTGCTCTCAGAAATCATTTCTTGTAAATCCACATCACGGAAATAAAGAAAACCCAAACAAAACCCAAAAAGAATAAAAGAAAATCTCTCAGCAAAGAACTCTGTTCCATACGTAGCACAGAAACACACAGCCTGACAGTGGAGGTTATAAGAGTCGAAGCAGAAATCTGAAGACAGGATTCAAGGCCACCCCTCTAAGGAGGGGGGTCACTGCAGGAAAACAAACTCTGCTTTCTGAAGCAAAGGTTTGGATTCAGAACCTGCAACCCACTCTCAGCAGCTACAGCTCAGTTGATAAATACACTTAAGACAACATGCCCGACAGCTAAGAAAAATGTGCACATTTAAAGGTCTTATAGGGATGGTTTTTTCACCTTCTATCTCTGCACTAAATGTCATCTTCTCATTGCCTCTCAAGTTTTGTACTGTCATTATAGGTGTTTAGGCTCAGAGTGTAATTCAGAAATCAGGCTGGGAAAGTTAAATAGCACCCTGTGAGAAGGCAAATCCATGAGGTTCAGAGCGAGGTCCTAGTTTTGTCTTTAAGAGGGGCACAGACATAGAACTGAAAAGCAAAATTACATTGAAGTCAGAGGTGGACTAGACAAGAGGGTCTGCAAGACATGCATGCAACCACAGGCGTGCCACTCTGACCTGAAGAGAGTGTCTCAACCACAAGCAGACCATGGACCTTCTCTCTTACCAGTTCTGGCAAGGAGCTCCGGTGAAACCGTAAAGTGTACGAACTTCTTGCAAGTCAGAAAAGCAAGACTGCATGTTCTAAATTCTGCTCTCGGTGATTCCTGCTCTTGCTTACTCCAGTTCTTTCAGCAACATTTAGACAAAACCAAGAAGTTAATCATTAGCTAAAGGCCTGATCTGAACGAGACTTCAGCCCAACCCCTTATTTATTACCCTCGAAACACACAGACAACTAGTGAAATCATTCAGAGCAAGCCACTGAATGTTGCCCGTACATTATATTAGGCAATGAGATGTCAAAATGACTTTAATTACACCTGCACACAGCCACAGGCAAAAAATAAAGAGGCCAGGTTTGCAGTAATTTGGATTTTTAGAATCTAAATTTATGTAGCTAACCCTGCAGGGTTGCAATAAATAAAATAGGTTAGATTCTTGTGTGACACCACTTTTAAAATTTTCAGGAAAATCGAGCAGTATATTTCAGTGTCGATTAAAATGTGTAACGATGAGATTAAGCATTAAAGAATCTTTTAATATTTACAGATACACAAGAAATTCAGAACTTCTAGTACCTTAGGAACTTCTTTGCTTACATCATTTTTCGCATCAGTTTCACGTATTTCATCGAATTTAGATTCAGTCCTAACCAAAGTAGGGTTCTCACTCTCTGCAGCAGCGCTGCTCAAAAGCAAGCTGAGCTGCCTCTGCCCTCTACCATTTCTGGTCCACAGCCACCTATTGACAACCCCAGTCCTCTCTCAGCGTGACGCCAGCACAAGTGGTTCTTCAGAGAGTGAGGGACATTGATCTGGCTGAAAAAAACCCACCTTTTTGTTCGGCAAAACCTGATCTGTACCTTTATCCAGTTGATCACGAAGCTGTATGACATTGGAGCCAGTGGCAGCTCGGACTGGGCAGTGGAAGAAAAGGAAGGGGCAGATGTGCATGAGCCAGCGCTGCCACTGAAGAAATACTAAAGTTACTGAATTCTTCCTCATTGCATGACAAAAGGTGTCTGGACAGAAAAGTCTACTTTGCACTGATAGCCCTTTTCAACCCCAGAAATCAGGATACAAATCACACAGTTTAGACAACTAAAATATAGTCCAACAGCTAAAAAAAATGTCTTAAATTCAAGCAAGACGTTGTAGAAACGTCTAGCTAATCATACTGGTATTTGTATGTGCTAAAAATATACATAATCGATTACCTGCATATTTCACAAATTTGTCCTTTTAAAATTATAATCACCTACTTTTTAAACTACTCGTCTTATTTTGCTTCAGGTTGCCTGCAATGCCCTCAGAACAAAGTTTCATTCTATACCAACTCCATCCAGCATGGCAAACATGGACCTTCCTCTTGTATTTCCCAACACAATTTGAAATTAATCCGCTTTAATGAACTTTATTCTCTCTATCTGCCCCGCTTTGCTCCATGATGTCATCTCCCCAGGGGTAGGACAGCCAGAACAAAATGCATGCTTGCTTCTCCCAGTCACAAGTCTGTGCCTTCGGCCAATTCAAACTCCACTGGAAGATTCGGGTAAAAAAAATGAGGCTTTACAACAAAGCACAAGGCACATCTTCTTTTCTCTTCGCTCCTCTAGAGAAGCGGTATTCCCCAGCAAGCAGTGCTACGGCAGCAAGGTTACTACATCAGGATTTACCAGCTGAAACCCTGTGTAAGGCCAGATGCATTACCAATGAAAGAAATCATATTTTTACATAAACAGCAGACTGGTTAAGTGGACAAAGTACATTTCTGCACTGCTGCTGGCAACGAAAACGAAGAAAAGGTGTATCGTGGTCTAAATAAAAATTCATCAGAACAAAGCTGATAAGATTGAAGCAGGAATAGGCAGCACTTTTGTTTTTTTTAAACTGGATTCCAAGCAGGCATGACCCATCCTATTTATGTGGCCAAGTAAAAAGAGAAACAGAACCCTCCAAATAAAATACAGCTTGAAAGAAAATAACTTAAAACTTGGATATTCCATAGGAGAGAGAAATCTGGAAGCACTAAAGCCGAGATGGATCCAGACATAACAATGAGATGAGATGTCTAACCTGGATTTCTAATGCAATATGGCTGCATGACAAGGTTAGTGCAAGTATTGAGCAACTTACGTGGCGACAATGAGCATTGGGCCTCAAATAGCTACAGTGGCTTCTTTGCCAGCACTTGTAGGGACACCTGAAACACTCGGGACTTGAGAGTGAATTTACAAATTAGAGATAATTTATAGTAACACTACTGAATTTACTAAGCACAGACTTACAGAGAGAGATGAAAAGATGTTACGATATGTCCAGTTTAAATAAGAACCAAGGGAAAGGTATAGAACAAGGTGTTAGTCTCACTATCTCAAAATTATTTGGATGCTGCTGCTAATATTACTAAGAATAATGAAATCACGAATTACCATCTGTCAGATGAGCCACACAATCTGTGTACAAATCCCTTGCTTAGCTCTTGATGGAAGCTAAAGAAAGCCGCATCACCTTGCATTTCCTATGGGCCACGAGTGTGCACAAAGACAGTTACCACTGCTAAGATGACATGCAACAACCTTTTATGCTACTCGTGACCCAGGTCCACAGTTATAGATCGAAAGAAAGATCCACCAAAACCTCAGAGGGCTTTTCCACAGTGACAGCATTCATATTTATGGCACCTCTTGCATGGGATGGGGTGTTGTCTACTCTTGACTCCAATTCTGCCGAGCGCATCCATGCCTTGAGGCCTGGTAATTGCAAATGCTGATTGGGGGTGACAGGATTCTCTCTCACTTGCCTGACAGCTCCGCCAAAGCAGTCTGATACTTAACTCCAAAATCAGCTTCCAGCAAACGGGTATTGGGGAATAAAGTGAGCAAAGAGCAACAAACTAAGGCAGACGCGGATGAACAGCTCACACTGCAACACTAAATCAAACCCAAAACAGCTCGCGAAAGAAAACACTGTTTTGCATTTTTCTTCTTATTTCAACATAATTTAAAATGAATGAACCAGCTGCTTAAAAAAACTTTTTCTGTAAGTAAAGATTTGGATAATGCTTCATAATTATGCATCTCTGCCTCTAAGCTTCTGCCATTGGTTTTCTAGAGACAGTTTAATTCAGAGGTTTTTTTTTTTCCTTCTTTCTTTTTTTTTTTAAGTAGTCCATCTCCAGACTTTGTCTTTGGGAGGATTTTCATCAACACATCTGGTATGTACAATTGGTGACTGCATCTGTACAGGCCTGAAATGAGCTGAAAGGTGTGAACTTTTCTGTTTGTTCTGACGATCGCTGATTTAGAGGCCTATGTGACAGTGTAAATGTCAACTCTGCGAGCTTTTTCATGGCAGGTAGGAAAAGCAAGCAAAGAAGAATTCAGAGTAGGAAGATTTACACCAGGGAAAGGCAGGAGTGCCACAAAAGATCAGATAAAGAAGGTACATGGAGAATTATAGGGTTTTAACACCGTTTTTGCAGGGCTGTGACTATGAGGAAAAAGGAGGACAGACAGTCAAGAGAGGATTCATTATCTAAAAAAAAAAATAAAAAAATTAGGAAGTGGAGTCAGTTTTCAGAAATTCTGCTTTAAACAGAGAGAGCCACAGAAGATGTACTGCAGCAAAAGACCTTGCGCTGAGCATGACTGTGACTTTGCAACACTGATTACTGGTAGTGCTAAAAAACATGCCGGAGACTGTGAGCTACCAGAAAAATGAGCCTTTTCTGCTCTCTCAGAGAAGAAGCATATAATAATTTCATAGTTTTAGACAAGTTATTTGTGGATGGCTCTGCCTCATACGTTTTCGGTATCCATTTCGGCACTGCTGCACTCCCAAGTCAAAAGACAGGCGGTGTGTGATCTATTTGCAGGGCTAGATTCAAAAGTGATAGAAAGGACAGTTGTCTATGAGATTTGCAATCCCTGACAGTTTCTAATCATTCATCCTCAAGAGCAGTGAGGAAGAAATCTTAAACAGGCATTTTTCACTTCATCGCAAAGGACTTGGCTGAAACCACTCCACGTTACCTTTGAAACAGCTGGACAGATGCACTAGGGGCCTTCCCTGACAGAGCCTGACGTGCTGCAGAAAAACGCCTTTGGAGAGAAGCTTCTTCCTGATAAAAGAAATATGACCAACTTTATACAGCAACTTAAGAGTATATATGGTAATTTAATTGGTTGTGATATTCCTCTCTTTTGCTAAGACTCTAGACTTTATGTATTTATATATTCTGGGAAAACGGCAGAGCTATATTGTAACTAACAAGGTGTTAAATATGATTCACCGATCTACACAAACCAAATTTTGGTCTGAAATCTTGCTGGCTTTGAAAAATGAAGACCTTCATCTCCAGTGAAGCTCCATTTCTTCACAGTAGTCAAAATGTGCCAGGATGCAGCAGGAAGGAACATCCGCAGCGAACCGCTTTTGATGCATCCCAACCTCCCAATGTGTTACAGCAGGGGTAGTTCTAGCCATGCTGTTGTCTCAAGCTTCTTTTCACCAGCAAGGGACCGAATACAAAAGAATTTGCCTTCACTACATCTTAAATACACCGTCTTGTTGCCCCAGCAAGGCAGAAATCTTGCCTTACCAACTCTGTTTCAACCAATATTCCCCCCTCAAAGAAGGAATCACCTTCTGCAAATTTCAGTTAGTTAAAATGACTTTGTACAATGAACACACTACGATCTCAGCAGAGTGGAAAATGTGGTCCCGAGTTTTAAGGGTGTGTTAATTAACATGTACTGTAGGACAATGTAATTTCTTAGGTCAGACAAGTGCAGCGCTTAAAAGCCTGTGCTGAAAAAAAAAAAAGAAAACGTAAATCACAGAGCAAAGTTATTAAATCCTGCTTGGTTATCAACTGATAGCCACTGACAGCTATCAATTTAATAGCTAAATCATATGTCTGTAACAGAGGTGTTTTGTCATGGTATGAGCAACGAAAGAGAACACAGTTAATCTGCTGAATGCTCACATCATGGCCACGGTGAATTCCTCCACTTTCCTTCACTATTTAGGCTAAGTAAGGCTCTGCTTAGATGCTCACTGAGCTTGTGCTTCGTTTTGCTTTCTTTTGGTAAAGAGATAATTCTGACCTTTTTTTCTGTGTGGATGACAGGTGTGGATAACTTTCTGTTCATCCCTTGTGTAGTTAATTACAGCCATACAGAATTAGTGCGGGGCTGGCATGCTAGCAAGGGAAAAGGCTGCACGGGATCAGATCTACTGTCTTTCCCTGAGCGGTTGATCCTGCTTCTTACTTGGTTTGTGGGTAATTCACAGTAACTTCTTCATCTCTTTTATTTTCCAGTTCTACATGATTGGAGCGGAATGTAGTTACTGCAGTGACAGCACATTATTTGGGTGCCAAAAGCACAAAAATCGTTTGCGGTCCCAAATGCAACCATTTAGACAAAATTTTACTTTAAGGCCACAGACATCTATATTCTTGTCATTAAACACAGCCTAAGAGGCACCTGTGTTTCACCTTGAACGTTTTACTATGTTGACACTTCAGCTGATGCTGTAAAGCTTCCTCTGCATGTGAAAATAGATTGGAAACTTAGTGCAGTAAATAACAAAAAGGTATTAACAGCGCTGAACAAGGAGACTAATAAGAAAGAGAGCCTTGTGGCCACTAAGTAAGTTAAACCCAAGGTAAATGATAGCCTCCTCCATCATAAACCACTTCTCCCTGACTTGACAAAATGTAAACTTTCAAAATAAAAATAAAAAAAGATGAAATAAAAAGAGAGAAAAATAAATTGCTGGACTAGGAGCAATGGCAGAGCGTCACCAAGATAAGAAAAACTCTGGCTTCTCTCTCATATTAAACTAACAAACCTTTGGATGAAAGGAACATGAAAATGAACACCACTTGTGACATTTTTTGAATTCTGAAGGGCTTGCAAAGAGGTATTTAATTTCGGAAACACTGAAAGATGGGAGGTTCCCTATTCATGTCAGCCATTTTATAATCAGATCTTTCCCCACACCTAAGAAAGCGTTTTTTAAAGCCTGGGAAACGGAGGCGGGGGGGGGTCTGTTACTTTGCTCCATCTACAGCACTAATTCTAAACATCAGAGGTAGTTATAAATACAGAGATAGCGGCAAAATTGTACAGCGAGTCATGCCTGCCAAGCCATCATTCATCATAATGACATCATAACCCTGGAATGGAACAAAGTTTAAAGCTTTCATTTTTCTTTTTCTTTTTCTCCTGTCGTTGTCGTATAAAAAGAGCATTAGGCACATCTGCTTCATAGCCCCAGCTCCCCCACTGCCTGCAAGGAGAATGAATGCCTTTAGGGAAAGGACTATTAAGGAGAAGTTAAAAAAAAAAAACAGAAGAGATGAAAAGGGATGAAGCCGAAGTTGCAAGAAGTTATTTGAAATCCAAGCACACTGTTGAATCTGTTGATGGAAAAAGTCAAAGCAGGTGAAAAATGTGCTTATCTTTGATTCCTGGCAGTTGTCACTAGCATGCACTCTGAAAGGCTCGGCTGAACAAGTTTTCCCACTGCCACAGGATGGCGTTCATAAGTAATCTTCATTGTCCTATTAACTGCATCTAACTACGTCCTCTGAATAGGATGGTTTCATGGCTTGTTGTAGAACTGAGAGATGATATTCAGCTCCCTCACACCAGCACACTATTGGATGAAATCAATTAAGATCAACAGATTTATTCTGATGTAAAATCGAGCAGAAACGACAGCTTGTCCTCTCATCTGAGTTTACCTGCCTCATTCTCATCAATCTGCCTTTAGCTCTGGGGAACTGGCAAGTATCGTTGAAACGAAAGACAGCCAGAGAACAGGAGTCCATTTTCTCTGGAGAAAGAAAGGTCTGACTAACATGTATTTTTTTACATACAACTTATCACTTCTGTCCAAGGTTAAAGTAAATGCTCCTTACCACAGAGCCCAGTTGTGCAGAAAGCTTGTCCGAGATGCCTCCTGGATAGTTTTTGGCAGAAGAATCCAAGAACTCATTGACAGATGAAGACCGAGTAGTTCCAGTAATTACTCCCCCGGGTGACAATCTTTGCTCTTGTAAGAGCCGTATCCTTGAACCTAGTGTGGAAAAGACACTCCCCAACAAAAATGTTCCACAGCAAGCAGAAAGAAATTAGTCATTTGCAAATATCGTCAGTCAGCTTTTGGCACAGCGCTGGACTCACAAAAGGTAACTGTGGAAGTTGTAAAGGAGATAAGCTATGCAGTTCCCAAAAACCTTTTAAACCTTCCAAGTACTTCACAGACATAACAAATTTATCGCCCCTGAATTGCTAGGCAAATGAAAGTTATGAAAAATCTAAAAAACCCCACCCCTAGATTAATGGGCAAGGAAGAGGTGCTTAACGGTGTGTCAATGAGCTCGTTTTGTTATGGATGCTCTGATACGCACCACTGTTAGGATTCTAAGCTAATTACAATCTACCTCTCTTGGAATGTGGTGGGGAGTCTGAGCAGGGCACCTTTTCTTCTGTTATTTGTCTGAATTTCTGTGAACAAAAATCCAAAGACTTGCACCACTGCTGGAAGCACATGGACACGAGCCAGAAAGCTGAAGACACAACTAACTCACCTTTTCAAAATACATTTTTTTCGAAGTTGAAAAAATCTGGGATTTATCCCATCTATAAAACAGCATCTAAATATGAAATTAACTCACCAAAAAATCTTTTAAATATTTCTACATGACGATCTTTGCAGAAATCCAGTCATAAGAAAGGTTTAATAGTACTGTGTGTCATATCAAAGCACAAGAGCTCACAGCCTAAGAAGCCACATACGAAACCAGCAGATGAGAGGCAAAGAGACGCCCCATCCATATGCATGTTCACATACTAAATACAGTTATTTTTCTTAGCATATGCCTTTATAAAAAAGTCTCAACAGTCATCAGATGTCTCTCAGCACAGCCATTATCTACTGCTGGTTTGCAGCTGCCAGAAGAGCTGTTGTTAAGAACAGAGAAGAGCCTTAAGATCGGTGGGTTCTGTTTCAGGCACAGCAAACTACTCACTCCGGCGCTAGTAAGTAGCAGAGCCTAACCTTCAGAGGTGCAGAACTTCACACTGCCAAAACTTCCGTGGGATTTCCGATGCTCAGCATCACAAACAATCAGTCTTTGGCATAAACGTCCCTTTCCTCATTCGTAAAATACAAACAGTAACACTTACTCCACAGGACTGCTGTGAGATATAATTAATAGTTGTAAAGTACCGAGTTCCATGGATGAAAGCTGCTAATGCAAGTACAAAGCACTATCAGCTCTGAAATGTATTATACTTCTGCTATTAAAAGTTTTTAAAAGAAAAACTTATCTGTTTTCTCCCAGTATTTTTGCTTTATACATGAGCAAAAGATCTTGCACAGCAGTTCATTAAAAAAAGAATTAACAACCTATCATAATCTCACACAACCAATCTTCCCTCTGCTACTATCTTACTAAAAATGTCCATATTAAAGACAACCTTGGGGCAAGTTTTTTAAAATAAATTATTTCACACAGTCCATAAAAGAGATGATCTCTAGAAATAGGATAGTTAAATTTATTTAAACACCTATAAATGAGGCTCTAAATGAATTTAATGGCGCATAGTAAATTTAAAAGTGATTTTATGGACAGCAGAATTACCAAAATCTAGTACTATTAATGAAGTTTCCGTAACTAGTGACAAGTCGCTCACTGAAAGAACTCAGAACTGCTGAGGAATACAAACAAAGTCCTGTAAAGGAACTTCAGATACATACATATGTATCTTCAAAACCACCATGATTATATCTAAATCCTTTATCTTTAATCCTCTCCCTTCTTCTTCTTTCCTGATAAGCTAGTTAGGGTTTGGTGGGTTTTGTTGCCTCTCAGGATAAAACATCTCCAGTGTTTTAAAGACAAATAGCAATAATATTATAGTAAGTGAGGCAAGGAAGTCTTCTTTCTCACTTCAAACAAACATAGAAGCACTGGAAATGAAAATAAAATCTACACAGTTTACGATTAAATAAGTTTCTTCAGAAAGTTCCTCCCTGCTGTAGCACTACGATGCCACAATATGTGTAGAAGCCTTTTCTTGTCCACTGGGAAATCAGTATTTATTGATTATTTCAGGATACAGAATTACTTGAAATGATGAACTGGTGAATTTTACACTCTCCTTCATTAACATTTTCCGACATTTTTGCCCTCCCTTCCGCTACTTTTATTTGCAGCCTTCAGAGCCACACAGAAGGTCATGAATATTGGCTCTGTGCTGATTAACCCTCCTGTTGCAACGGATCTAACCAAGACGGCCATAAACCATGGAGGCTCTTGGAGTCAGAGGACAGAGTTCACATAAATGAGCTGCTTGTTAGTCCATGTTGCACAACAACTTACTACTGTAATGCCTGTTTCCGATTTCTTTTTGTCCAGTATTTTAGAGATCACATTCTGCTTCCATCCCAGCTGGTAACCTGCTCTGTTTGGAATAAATTCAAGGGTTACAGCTGAGTTCTCACAATATGTTAAGCCAACCCTAGTTATGCTCCCTCTGACAAGAGTAGTCCTCCTTTCATCCTCCACAGGCAGCCATAAAGCTCTCCTCCCACACCCTTCCCTCCATGAGCCAAATCTATAGCTGCGTGATGCGTTTGATCAAAGCAGCAATCTCTCTGAAAGTTGGTTTTTTTTTTTTTCTCCTAAGTTAGTTTTTTGATGGAAACGTACCCTGATCCAGATTACACAGGACTGCACAATCAGAGGACTGCGAGCAATGGGCAAACTAAGAAGAGAGAGGCAGAAGAGGTAAGATGGGCCTGACCCCTTTTTGCAGCAGCATGCCCTTGGAAGAGCTGGAAGTGATCATGAGGTTCCAGCCTTAGTCATTCAAGGGCTAAAAGGCTTCTGTTGAACCCACTACCAATCATTTGAGTTTACCCCACAATGAGTAGCCCCAAAAGTGTTTGGAGTGGATTTCTAAGTCGCCTTGACTCATCTTACTATCCTGGTCTTCATATACCTCTTCGTGCTTCTGGCTATCGAGGGGAAGAGTAGAGTAAGGTCTCAGTGCCAAGCCATTTTTCTGTTGCTCGACAAAGCTGTCAGCCACAGACACACATCTCACTTGTGACTCTTCTGGGATGAACGGGAGGTCCCTCAGCCCAAAAAGCACCCACAGAAGAGTCAAGCAACTCACTTTCTGCGTATTATTGCCTCAGGGCACACAGTGATGTAAAGTACCTGGAAAGATCTCCATTAAAGATTCCGATCCCAGGGAGGAATCAGCCCAGGAGACTCATCACAGAGAAGCACACGGAGTTTTCAGAGACAAGCAGTCTCACAGGTTGCATCATTCAGAGATTTCAATTCTTGTAACAAATAAGTAAGAATACTCTACTGACAAAACCAGCAGTAGCATGTGCCCAGACACCGTACCTGCTCCTGCTCTGCTGTTCAAGTCTCGAATGCTGTCAAAAACTGCAGGTGACTCCAAACCCAGGTATGCCTTTACGAGGAAACTCAGCTCTGTGAATGCTTCATCCACTTCATCTGCAGAAAGGGATATGCATTTCATGGTGGAGAGAAAGGACACATAGTAAAAAAAAAAAACAAGCTTTCATCAGTAAGAAGTTACAAATCACAGAAATTTGACAGTGAAATGCATTCTTCACTCATCCAGCTTCTCTCTTTGGGAGAAAAGTCTTCACCTTCATAAATACCGCATTCAAGAAAATAATCTGAAATTCATCTCAGTTGCTGCACTCACCTAAATACCCTCCTTCTGCAGTTTGGTTTACTGTGTTTTATTTCTTTAATGATATATTTAAATTGTAAGCTCCATATGCCCTTGACAATAACAACAAATTCAGTATTTCATACCACAATGATACATTTCACCTTCACTGTGGTGAACCACAAAAATCACCTCCACAAAAGGTGGAGAACAAACTAGAAATTCTAGGATTCTTCTCTACCACCTGCTATCCTCAATTCCTAAATATCAAGAAGCAAATACTTGTTTCAATGAAATATCTACCACCCTCACATTCCTTGTTTCAGGCTGGGGGACTTGAGCGAGTTACTAAGCAGAAGAGCCCTACGAGGAAAAGCTTTGCAGCAGACTCTTCTTTCCAGTGGGATACTGCCAGGCTGCACATCAGCTGTCATTTCAACACTCGAAAAAAGCCTATCCTGCCCAGAGATCATTAGGTCTTTTGTTAGACCAAAAGCACCTCTGAACTCTGCCCAGAAACCGACAATTAGCGCAGATCAGTGCAATATTCTCGTAGGAGACAGTATTTAACAAATTCAACAGTTGGTTCGCTTTCTAGATGGGCTTAAAGCACAACTTGGACGTAGCAGAGTAATTCAGTCCTGACAGATCTCCAGAGCTTTTGGATTCCTGGGACAAGAATTAACTGGGAAAATCAATTAAGGGATGGTTTGAACTATTGTGATGATCATCAAACCATTTGTCATCATTAGTTTAATATTTGCCAGTGGCTTTGTTTACATAGCAGTTTCGGTCCATCTATCAGTGTGACACTAGAAGTCAGATTTATAGTATGAACGAGATTAACTTACCTGTGTTGACTACTGCATCAAAGTATCCTGGAAAATCCTGACTTATTTTGAGGTACATGTCCACTCTGGAGACTGCCTCTTCAATCTCTGGCCTGCTGAATAACCCTTTCCTCCGCAGATGTCCCTCATATTTTTCTTTGTCCGTTGGTACTAGCAGGATATATCTGGGTTTAAAGTAGGTATTTTTCAAGCTACGCACACCCTTTAAAATTAAGCAGAGAAACGCAATGTTTTGCTCCTGAAACTGAGTGCCTGGTGAACTCGTAGCTGAGTTTAGGACAACTCTGTATTTATGACAAATTACTGTGAAAGCAGTACTGGAACCCTGTATCCAATCTACAGGTTTCAAGATCTAGTGTCTGACTTTCAAAAATAGGCAAGTTCAAGGTGAAGTGCCCTAAAGCTACATATAGAAAGCATTACAGGAATAGCACACCTTCACTCTAAACACACTTTTGAAAGACTCCTTTCAGTCAAGTTCCACAGTGATTTAAAGCATCATGCTTCTCATACCCACCAGTTAACAGCTTTTCCTCCTGCTCCATCCTTTCTATCACATCAGGACTTTAGTTATTCTAAACGTGCCTATCACACCGTTGTGCTGGCACACAGCACAACTTCTCTGCCTCACCACCTTGGCCTTAGCTTTCCTCTATGAACAAACTGACCATTTTCTCCTCAGCTGCTATACGTTTCTAAATGAAAACGTGCAGCTTCATCGAGATGCGGGCAAATCTGTTTTGCCAGAGCAGCTTGCGGTGTTACCCCCTCCCAAAACCGGGCATACCCACAGCTCCCCAGCAGAGACATGATGTGCACATTCTTCATCTGTTACACTGTCGTCAGCCGTCTTGTCTTGAACCATTTTTATCACCAGTAAACCACCCTGAATAGGACTCTTAGTACAGCAGACTAGGAAACATTTGCATGTGCCTTGCATCAACTGCGCCATAAGGACAACAGCTCTGGTTGGCACTAATTGACAGCTGGGGACTGCAAACACCTATAATCATTTCAGCTAGAACTGCAAAAGGAGACCTGTCTGCATGCTAGGACTTAAAGACAAGGTCTTACTAAATGATGCAGGTAATGGCATCAACCCTGAATTTCCAGTAGATCTCCTTTGCACCAGCTCACACTTTGAAGAATCTTTGCTCTCTCCCTCTCGCTCTATCTACACATAAACCAGAATATTGTAACCGTGTAGCCCTGCAAGATGGTATTGCCATTGCCACAAGATCTGGACTGAGTTTTCAAGATTTGAGGACAGAGGCTTGTCCTGCTCGCTCTGAACTTTTCTTGATTTGGCTGTAACTTTGTTTTACTTGGCTCAGCTGTGACAGCAATTTCTCTTGTTGACCAGGTGTCTGTATCTAATTGGTTTACTTTTGATTATCTTTGTGAGGTGCAACCACAGTTTTATGCAAACAGCAGTAACAAGCAGTCGTTCCAGGTAGAATGAGATGTTGATGACTCAACGTAATAACATCACCTAGATAAATACAGGCCTGGCATGACAGCAAAGACCTGGAGAAGCAGAAACACGGGACACAATGCACAGGCACGGGATGACAAGAGATGGGGCAGAGCCTTGACACTAGACACCTCACAGCTATCAACATCTCAGCAATGGTGAGTCAAAACACAAAGGCCTGGAGCTGGACAAAGCTGGTTTTAAGGGCAACAAGAAGAAGTAGTATCTAACATACATAAAGGGAACCACATATTATAAGTTCTCGGATCAGAAATAGCGTGGCCAGCAGGAGCCAGGAGGTGGTCGTGCTCCTGTACTGGGCACTGGTGAGGCTGCTCCTCGAATGGTGGGTGCAGTTTGGGGCCCCTCCCTGCAAGAAGGACATGGAGGTGCTGGAGCGTGTCCAGAGAAGGGCAACGGAGCTGGTGAGGGGTCTGGAGAACAGGTCTGTGAGGAGCGGCTGAGGGAACTGGGGGTGTTCAGCCTGGAGAAGAGGAGGCTGAGGGGAGACCTTATCGCTCTCTGCAACTGCCTGAGAGGAGGTTGTGGTGAGGTGGGGGTTGGTCTCTTCTGCCAAGTAACAAGCGTTAGGATGAGATGAAATTGCCTTGAGTCGCGCCAGGGAGGTTTAGATTGGCCATGAGGAAAAATTTCTTCACTGAAAGGTTTGTCAAGCACTGGAACAGGCTGCCCAGGGAAGTGGTGGGGTCACCATCCCTGGAGGGATTTAAAAGACATGTAGACGTGGCACGTAGGGTCGTGGTTTAGTGGTGGACTTGGCAGTGCTGGGTTACCGGTTGGACTTGATGATATTAAAGGTCTTTTCCAACCTAAATGAATCTGTGATAATGGATTCATACGTAACCTGGAGCTGCAGACCAGCAAAGAATGAGAAAGGTGTAAACATGTGATAGCAAACATATCCAAATGACCCCAACAGGATCAAGGGAGGAGAAAGAAGAAACTACCAACATTAATATCCTCCCAGCAAAGGGCTCAGATACTGGCAATCTGCTGTGACAACCCCCCACCCCCACCCCAAGGACAACACCAGAGGGAAACCACTGACCTTAGAACCCAAAGGAGCAGTGAAAGGGTGAGCATAACAGCAGCAACACAGAAACCAAGAAGCATACGTTACAGTTTTAATTGTATTACTATTATTATTGGGACTTTTTCACTGTGTAAGTACTCTTAATGCACTGTTATTCTTTTTCTGTAATAATTAGACCTAGACTAATGATGATTCTCAAATTAGACAGTTAAGAATTCCATCATACTAACAATAAATTCTTGGCTTTGCTTTTATATATGTGACCATATATATATAAATGATCATTTTGGGTGTTTAATGTTCATTGTGAAAAAAAACCCAAACAGGCCAACAACCATCGTAGTGTCTTGTGACGAACAATTACCCAAAGCTAAGCGAGACCATGCACATTATTGCACTGTGATAAATGTAGGGAAGCTTACTTCATTTTCATTGAAGCATGATACACCTTCTCCACTGAAGTGGGTAGGAAAAGAGAGGGACTAATATGTCGAATCTGAGCACTGCTCATTACTTCATCAGAACTGACCATCACATCCTTAAAGCTGGGGTCCTCCAGAATACCAAAAATACAGTCAAACACCAGCAGAATCATGCAAAACCCAACAATAGGCTGAATACTTACTCCATTATTTTTTTTTCTTGGTTGCAGCGTTCTAAGTCTGGAACAGTACTTTGAGCTATTCTAAAAATTTCAGGGGGCGATTCTGGGGAAAATCCTATTCACTTTGATGAAAACTAAAGGGGAGAATATGGGGCACAGAAATCTTTGCATCCAGCTATGTGACCCCCTACTTTCAGCCGGGCTTCTAATTATTCAGGTATCAGACAACCGGCAAAAAGCAGACCCCCATTCCAGCCTAGTAACACCCTCCTCACCTGAAGCTGCATCAGGAATGAGTTCTCTTTCTGATCAAGAAATAACATAACACATTATTGATATGTCCCAGAACTATTTAGGAATAGGAAGGCAGCCTGTTAATAGTGTGGGATGAGCAGGGAGGAAAAAAAAGGAAGAGATACAGAAAGTTTCTGGTGTGCCCAATAAATTTGTTGCCTGATAGGAAATAAAGAGACTATAAGGAAAGTGACTTTAAAATAAAGAATGGGAGAACACAGGAGTTGACAGTTTGAAACCAAAGAGATATTTGGGAAAATAAAAAAAAAAGGAGTATCTCAATTTCTTCAGTTACCACCACAGGGTTACAGAAAAGATGTGACTAGAATTAGATCCTACTTCCCTTGACTCCCCAGCCTGAATGAGAGGATAATCAGTAATGAGTGCAATGGAGAGTGGTCTTTGCCAGGAGACAAGGTGTACTTACATTTCTGGAAGCATAATGAGACACATTAGCCACTCTGCCACTACACCCTTGGTTGGAATGTGCTCTGCAGATACTGGTGGCTACACAAGCAAAGGGAAAGCGCTGCAAACGTGCTTCCTCCAACACAGAACCCTGTGTCAGAATTGCAGCAGCTTCACTAAGGGGAAGTGTAGGCTCAGCAAGACTTAACTTTTCAGATTTGTGTCAGTCCCCTTTATCAGTGAAAGATATACTCGCGATTAAAGGGAATGAACAGCTCTAAATTTTTAGTCTGAGCCCACAGACCACAATTACAATTTCTTTTAATAGTGCTAAATCACTTTTGTTACGAGCCTCATAGAAGATAATGGACTTTGATAACTTCTATCGAGATACATAACTCACCATTATTGTTTCTCATCTGCTAGCAGAGTCCACAGCGATACAAGACTGTGCATAATTACTATGTGATCTCGAAACTTCAGTGACAAAGGAGTTTCTTAGCTCTCTGTCCATGACCGTAGCTTCAGTAATACCCAGTAAAAGTTATGGTCGCTGCCTATGTCACTGGGTTAACCTCCTTATGAATAAAAATGACGTTCCATTAAGTTCTTCCTCCTAAATTATTTGGTAACACATCTATTTTGTGAAGAATTGACAGCTTTAAACGGCACCCCATGCCATCGTATTTAATCTTCTCCTATTTTTTTTTTCCTTTGTAAATTTAAGATCTGTCTGGCAAGACAACAAACATGCTCGATGCCTATTGCAATCGGCGGAGGCTGAGAGTGATGCACGGTTCTCGCAAGGCTGAGGAAAAAGAGGAAATGGAACTACACAGAGATTAAGTTATTAATTTGCTGTTTAATATCAGTCAAGTAACAGGCATTTAAGAGCAGGATTGCAGCATTAAAAGGTGAACCATTTGAGCAAGGAGCTACTAATTGTTTAGCACTGACGTGGTGCTATTCTGTTATTTGTACGTTTATATGCAATCCAGCAAATGTGTACGGATTTATTTGGGCCAAAGGGGACTAAAACTCTTTATGAACACCAAGATTCTTAACTGAAAACTAGTTTTTCGATCATCAGTTTCACAAACAAAATAATCATCCTAAGATTAATTAAATTTAGTATCAAATTTTGCCCAAGTCTTCCTAGTCATTCCCCTAACTGGGGACGCACAGCTTGGGATACTACACTAGCACCTCAGCCTCCTACATTTCTTTTTTATATCTATTATATTTTTCCCCATCAGACATGGAACGTAGTAGTGTCTGTTAACTTGTAGTAATCCCTGGGAGGCAGAGCTGAGCCCTACAAATGCAGTAAACCCAGCAACACTCAGTATCACATTCTGGGCGCTCTGTAAAGCTTCTCATTTTGGAAAGCTCATAGAGATGGAGCTTATTTTATAGAAAGAATTTGGAAGGAAATGTAGCGTGCCTTTCCTTCTTGTCACCTCAACCCCTAGCTAGTAAATCTTGATCTAAAATAATGAGAAGTACATAATTAGAGAATTAGCTAGAAAGTTATTCTTTTGGGATTCCAATAGATAGGTTTTGACACTTTGTTTGTGACCTAGTTTCCTAACGCAGCAGGACTTCTGAGATTCTGCCATCTGTGCGTGTGCACCTGACAAATCTCAGAGAGGGCAAAGTAATCCCTCAAAGAGATTGCATCTTTTAATAGTTCTGCCCAAAATCTTGCCTCAGGCCTGCACGCATTGCTTCATCAGCAAAGGAGAAACATGGCGGGTTTTTAGGGGTGATCAGCAGGCGTGCAGCTCTCGACTAGTCCCACCATAAGCTGCAGATGGGTGGAAAGCACGCGGTTGCAAAGCTGAGGACACTGTAATGGAAATTATGGGGAATATGGTGGGGAGATGAGGCTGCTGAAGATTGAAAAAATAGGTCAGGAAATTTTAAGAAGCCAGGAGAAGGATCCATCTCACTAAATCGGGGTGTCTGTAAAGGGAGTGGTGTAGTTTACCCAGAGAAAGTGGAGAGCTACTTGATACAGGCAGTGGAGTTAACAACGCAGTTCATCTGACCAAACCCCTGTACCCCCAGTGACTGTAATGTAGCCCACACAACCAGTTCAAAGGTGCCACTGGCAGCTGTAGGCTGGGCAGAAGGCCACGGGATGTCTCCCACCTCACTGTGTCTCGGCAGCTGGAACAAACCTTAGTCAAACTGCATGAATTCCTCCCCAGGACAGTTCTCACAGAACCACTCACTCAAAAATGATTAGGCAATAAGTAATCCTTACCTCTATTTCTAAGTCAACACAGGTTGCAAGACCCTCTCTGGCAATTGATTCTACAGTGTCTCTTCCAAGTCCGTAGTAATAGCCACTGTATTTATAGGTTGCTATAAACTTCCCCTGAAATTCAAAACAGCAGGTATAAGGAGAAAGGAAATATTTTAAGGAAAACCCAGCTTCCTTAAAGGAGCATAATCACTCTGGATTTCCTTGCTTTCTCTCCCTACAAAGTTTCTCCCCGCCTGAATCATCAACAATAATGAGGCCAATGGTAGCACAAAATTTGCAGAGGAGAGCACATAGTCAGTCCTGCAGGGTACGGGCTTGTACATTGTTCATGGATAATAAAACACCAGTGTCTTGGAAACAAGCTTCTGACAGGTTACAGCTTTCATTGGTTATTCATTCACACAGTAAAGAAAGGAAGATCTAAAGCAAGGAGCATCCTTCTTTTGACGTTACATCAAACCATATGGGCATGCCATATAAAATAGACGATGCCAAAGAAAAGAGAGGACAGAAGCAAATCGGCAAGGAGAATGTATAATTGGCCAAGGAATTTCAAAGTTAAAACCTGACAACTGAAACTTTGGTTCCCAGGAGTATGTCTAGAGAGATGCAAGCAGATTGTATTCTTTTAAAATTAAACTACTTGATTACTGTGAGTTGTCATTAAAGACCAGATCAGTTGCTTAAGACTGTGTTGGCTCCCCCATTTGTGTATGTACAAATAATGAGCTCTGTTGTGGCTTTTCAAGCCAAATTTTTATTGCAGGCAGCAAAAGGCATTAGAAACAGTAGCTGGAGGCACACTGCCTTCAGAGAGAAACACAATGCCTTGAGGGTGAATTTGCTAAACTTTAAAAGACTGCAATCCCTGCAGGGTTGCCAGGAGATTTTGAGGGAAAAAAAAAAAAAAAGAAAGAAAGAAAAAAAACCCCAAAAGATGGCAGCTATTTCAAGGGGTTTTATTTTCTGTACACACACTAGATATTTGCATATGATGATCAGAGGGCTAGAGTACCTCCCTTGTGAGGACAGGCTGAGGGAGTTGGGGGTGTTCAGCCTGGAGAAGGCTCCAGGGGGACCTTAGAGCGGCCTCCCAGTGCTGAAAGGGGGCTACAGGGAAGGTGGGGAGGGACTCTGGATCAGGGAGGGGAGTGATAGGACAAAGTATAATGGTTTCAAAGTGAAAGATGGGAGATTTAGGTGAGGTATTAGGGAGAAATTTTTCCCTGTGAGGGTGGTGGGACACTGGCACAGGCTGCCCAGAGAAGCTGTGGCTGCCCCCTCCCTGGCAGGGCTCAAGGCCAGGCTGGATGGGGCTGGGAGCGACCTGGTCTGGTGGGAGGTGTCCCTGCCCGTGGTGGGGGGGTTGGAACTGGATGGTCTTTGAGGTCCCTTCCAACCCAAACCATTCTGTGATTCTATGATTCTTTGATAGAGAAGTAATTTTAGTTCTACATTATCCTACTGTTTAAAGATTTCTACTGATCACTACGCCCATTTAATGGTTTCTATATTTGTACAGAAGAAAAGACAGCATAAATACAGAATGAATTAACTTAAACCACATAACTGTGAGTGAATAAGCATGCACATATAGACACAAACTTAATATAAATTAAAAAAAAAAAACCACAACAATCAGACCTGGACAGAAAAGTTGAGTTTATTCTGGGTGTAGGAAATAGGCCTACTAGGATACTAGTCAGGTACTTACTGTGTTCACCATTTTGTCAAATGCTTCTTGAGAAACGAAATAGTAATCAAGTCTGTTTTCTTCACCAAAGTAAGCTGCCCTGGTAGTGTGACAGGGACTGGAAGATATATGGTATAATAAAGAAATAACCTGTTTTCAATCATGGAAGCAGCTATGGAATAGGAGAGGGGGAAAGGGAAAATACTACAAATCATTTTATTTTTAAGAAGAGAAGAAATATGAGAAATATAAAGAGGTGCAAATCATACCACTAATGCCACATATTTGAAAGATTAACCCATAAATACAAAAAAAAAAGTTTAAATGTAACATTACATTTTGGCTATAAATTCCCCCCAACCCAGGATAGCCTGAACTGAAGCTGTCAGGGTACCCCGTAATGGAGAAATGATGAAACCATTTTTTTCCCAGTTATGTCAGCTTGTGGATGATATAAAGTAGAATCCTAAATATGGAAAAGGATACTAGGAGTTAGGCTGAACTGTGAGGTTAAGAAAGAGATATAAAGACCAATCTTTAAATAGAACCCTAATAGTGAGGGGAGAAACAATCCTGAAACGAAGGAGATAAGTGGGATACAAGGCAGGAAAAGTAATTGCCTGCCACCACATAAGGTCAGTTGGATAAGCCTCAGATACGTGAGCTTACTACCAGGATGAAACACGAAAAAAAACACCCCCACAAACACAAACAAAACCAAAAAACCCCAGCTAAGTCAATGCATGCAACCATTTTAGGCTAAAGTATGCAGTGCCCTGTGTTCTATCTTGGGAAATTATACTTTGCTACTTGTGCCTGCTTTAATTTTGTTTGTAATTTTTACGTTGCAGGTAACAGGAACAAAAGTGGAACGTGGAGCTTTGGCATCGATTCACACCGACAACATTTTAACACTTTGACTTCTGCTGCCTGAAAAATACGGCAAAGAATACAGCACCGACTAGCAAGGCACCTGCCAGGCCAGTTGTGCTCGTTTATTCAAGGTAGCCGAGTTACAAACCATGAAGAAGTTTAGCTTATAGTGCAGAGCTTGACACATCTTAACTATCATGGCATTACAGGGTGCCACTTCTTTTTTTTTTTTTTTTAATCAGCAAGCTGTGGCAAATGAGAACGCTGTGTTACACATGGACTCTGTAAAATTTCACATCAAAGGCCTGATTTTCTTTAAGAGATTACGAACGCATCAGCTTTAAAGGTCATTCCTGAGCACTAGCCAGATGGTTTGAGGGTCCAATTTCACTTTATTTTTTGAAATACTTTTAAACATTACAACCCTTTTTAATTGCAAGGCCATGTTTACATTCAAACTGCCAGAGTATCTTGCATCAAATACATTTTTAATGAGTGGAATGTTTGAAATTTAAAAGTGTAAGCCATAAAAGTGCTTAAACCTCCACTGAATAATTAAAATACAACTCTGCTTTATGGTTGCAATTTTCTGCTCTGTTAAGATTCTGTCTCTCTCCCTTTTTTTTTTTTTTCCCCCTCTCATGCCTAAAACTTTTAGGAAATAAAATACCCAGTATAAAAACAATGCTCTTAAAAAAACAACTAGTGCTTGGAAAATTTCAACTGGCATTCAATTAATTTGCGATTTCCAATCTAGTCTTTCAAAACACAGGAGTCGCTTTAAAGAAAGGCAAAAACTCAACTTCCCAGTCACACAACCTTCACAGAGCTTTTCTTCAAATGTCCTTTCAGCTTGCCAGTTTAATGATCTGATCCAGCAAGCGGCTACAGCCTCAGTACAGAGCAGACATACATGCAGGCTCCTTCACCACGGTGTATGACGTTAAAGAAGGCTACTACTAGTCATCGTGTCGCCGTGCAGAGCATGGTCCTGTGATGCTAAGAACTCTGAGGAATCATTCTCACATAGGCACGTGCCCACGGTGCCTTTCTTAAAACTCACCACTTCAGTCCCTAAAAGGGCGCAAATACAGACCCAGGTCCTGTCGTGGCAAATGCTATACAGGGGAAACTATGGCCAAAGACTCGTTGTAAAAAGAATGGATGCATTTGTGTAACAAAAAATGTGAGAAAAAAAGAGGAGAGACAATATAACAGGAATATGGGCCAGTGCTGAATAGTGTTTGCTACAGGACCTATGAAAGTTAGGTACTGTAAAGAGCGGAATGGGTGGACAAGAGGAACAGCTTGCACCACCTAACACCTAGGGGTGATCTAACTTAGCCAGAATCCCTATCAACTGTGCGCTGAAAACAGGTAGGTACCTCATGGAAGTGACTCACAAAGGCTGAGTCTCCCTTGGAAAGAGATACTTTCTCTCCACTAAACACACAGGGAGCCCGAGGCGGTAAGGATCATCGTTCAGGCCTCTCAGACAGGGAGAATTAGTCCTCCCAGCAGGTGGTGAAGTCTGAAAGGTGCCATTTGCTTTGATAACACTACTCACAGGATAATAAACTGGTCCAGCAATTGCACTTGCTTCCTTTCCGAGCTTCTGGATGCAGTCTGCACGTGCATGCTAATGTGTTTATGTGCAGGTACATTACAAAAATTAAGAGAAATGCATCCATATCTAAACAGATGCTTGGGTTGAGGGGCATTAGTGAGCACAGATAGAACAGATCAATAAAAGGAGCACTAAATGACACGTTTTTGTTGGTTTGTTTGTTTGCTGTTCACCTTTGAAAAGAACACAATAATTTAAATAGCTTTTCTTTTAAGGAAGTGTTTGATGACTTCAGGCAATCAAGCCCTGGGAAGAGATAAAATGCAGAGCAATGAACATTTATTGGTTGTCTTTAACTTTTAACTTCTTTGAAGAAAAAAAAAGAACCCAAACGAAAAAACCCAAAAGGCAAACCAGCAGCATTTCTAGTCTTGATCACTTGATGTTCTTTTGAACTTGTGGAGCAAACTTACCCGTATCTGAAGAAATTGTTGAACTGTCTGCAGATCTTATGAGTAAGCTCTCTCTTACCACAGGCTACAGGGCCAACTAGTACCAGCATGGGGTAGGGAGAATCAAGACTAGGTAAAGTGCTACAAGAAAGGAAAACAAGGAGCCATTACATTACCTACAAATGAAGTCTTCAGAAACTTTGTGTAAAGCTTCTGCAGAGACTTTATCGTCATTTCAACTAATCTCACCTGTCTATCACACTATTCCCATTGATCACAGTGTAGATAAAAATCAGAAGCGTGTGCTCAGTTTGATATGCTCTAAACATAAAAATAGCACAAAATACTGCATTAAAGACCCCTGGGTCTCTTTTGCAAAAGGAATAATGTTACGTCTACTATAATCTTTTCTGACTTGTAGCCTTTTCTAAAGCTCCCTCTGCAGTTACGGTGTTGCTGGGATTTGTTTAAGAGTTTTCCAAGTCTATTGCCAGAGATGATAATATTTTAATGATCAGGAAAAGAGACGACTAGCAGGAACCTGGACTCAGTCTTACAAACCTTTACACACTCCTGCATGCAATCTTGCTGACTTCCATGGCCTCGCCAGATGAAGGTGGCAATTTGTAAAGATCTCTTCTATTCAGTACAATGAAAACCACTACGATCCTTAAACTCCACTGAACACAAATAGCACCACAATAAAAGAACCCAAAGTGCTGCAAAAATACAAAGCTCCCCATTTGCTCCATGCTGAGCAGTTGGTTAGATCCTCAGATTTCCACTTCCAGCTGTAAATACTAGAATGAAAAGCATTTCTGCACTTCTGAGTGTCCGGCAATTTATTTAGACAGATAAAATGGAATTCAACTTCGAGATTCTCATTTTTAAATCTTGGCTAGATCCGATAATATGACAGAAATAGTTGAAATAATTTCAACCCCCCTCATTTTTAACTAATAAATAGCTTTAAATAAATTTAAATTTTTAAGTGGAAGAAAGCTACCCATGCGCGTTTAGCTTCCATTTAATGTGATCTAAACCAAGTGACCACAAATACCTGAAGGCAGAGGATATGCCTTTTACCTCTTCTCTTACAAGTCACTAACTCTAGAACAAGTAATGATACCCATCCAACACAAGCATGGAGGAAAAACATTTCAAAGTAATGGCTTTACTCCTACTTTCAGTTCAGCAAACCAGCTCTATTATCTACCAGACTATACGTATCTAATGGGACTTGATGCTTCAGAAGCACTGAGATAATAATGCAATTCAGTCTCCTGACTCTCCTATCGAGGTCTATCCTCACAGAAGAAATACAGATACACCCAATAAATTAAGAGACTGGCTCAAGTCTGTACATATGTGCTGATATTAAACTGTGAAATGAACCCAGATCCCGGTTCAGTGCTCCATCCACTGGACTATTTTAAAGCAAGACAGGAGCAGAACCCGTGGGAGGTTTAAGGATTTTTTACTTACTGTGCTGATCGGTGACCTGTACAAAACATTAGACACCATTAGTACGATACATTAAAAATACCAGAGAATGTAAAAATACATTTTAAAAATCCTTATCTGAATCTGTTAGCTTGTGTCATTCTGTTCAATTCAAGAAACACCTTCTTCCTCTCGTGATTATTTGAGCTGTTCGGACTGTCCTTCCCTTTTCTGACATTTGTGGTAAGGAAAAGACCAGTTTAGGACAACATGATCCCGGGAGGTGTGAGTGACAGTGTGGATACTGCAAGTGCCTTGTTATAAATGAACCTTTTCAAAGACGGGAATTCCATGAAAACCGCTCGGTGACTAGAGATTCAAAATTTATCAAGAAGTAGCAGAAAGGTTCTTTTTCTTGCTCAAGGTCATGCCTTTCGTGAACAACGATGCCAAGGCAGGTCTGTGAAGACAGAACCTGTATCTTCCACACAGTTTTAATATATTCCTTCTCCATGCACAGACCCTGTTACGTGCTTGCATATTGCAGAATTCCTTTTCTTTTACACGGAAGTGTTATATCCAGTAATGATGCAACGTATCATTACTTGACAAGATGATACGCAGAATTCAAATTCTCTTCAATAAATTTCCGTTGCTTAAATTCCTCACATCCTCAAATTCCTTGGATTTATTATTTCAACAAAAGAACACGGAGAACATTTCCATAATACTAGCTTTGATGACATCATCACTTACTGGTTCTCAAAAGATAAACTAAAAGTTTTGGTTTTCCTCCAACTTGTAAGTGGTATCTTGTAAAGAGCTCTTGGCTCATTTAACGTCCATCTTTCAACTGTCTTTGTCTTTGGCGAGCACAGTAATACACCGCTGTGCAAGATTAATAGATTTCAAGGCCAGGAGGGACTACTGTGATCATCTAAGTCAGACTCCCCTCATCACACTGGCTACAGGATTTCCCTGAGTCAGTTCTTGTTTCAAGCCTGATACCTGGGGTTCCGTTAGAGCATATTTTAATTAAAAACGTTCCAGTTGTGGAGAATTCTTGGTGCTCTTGGTAAATTGTTCCAATGGTTAATTACTTTCATTGTCAAAAATAATCATGCTCTATTTCGTCTCTGAATGAACTTATCCTCAATAGCCAGATAGCAAGTCTCATCGTGCACTTGCCCAACAGACTGAAGAGCCCTCTGTTATTAAATTTCTGCTCCCCATGTAGCAGTTACAACTATGATGAAGCTCCCTTTTGAAATGCCATGTGCATTTCTGGTAGGGGAAAAATACACATCGTATTGTTCAGTGGTGTGTTACCACGTAATTAAAGATAGAATCACAAGGCACACGGAGAGAGGGAACGGCATAAGAAACTTCATGTTTTCCGACTGCAGAGTATGCCACAGTGTAACTTTTTGCTTTGTTTTCTGGCTTTATTTTTAATAGAGATATTACTAAAAACAGAATGAATTATAATCTCATCTAAAAAGATAGACGCAAATGAACTACGGAATCTGGTTCCAATAAGCATTTTATAGTGCAGAAGACTCTCGTGCATCATCATTAGGAAGATTTCATTAATGACTGTGTTGTGTGCTTTCCAGCTGAGCACGGGCAAACATTCAAAGCATCGTTAACAATTTTGGTCCGTACCATAAACGCTGGTCTGCATGTTTATATGTTTGTGTATGCAATACCTCTGACAGAAGACAGAATTGTTTCTTTCCAGCAAGGAAGACACACATACACAAGCCAGTAAACAAATATTTAAATAGTGCCTATGCTGCATTGGAAGAAATCCATGCCTTTAGGTAAAACTATTGTGCTGCCTTTTTTTTTTAATTTTATTTTTTTTAAAGAAATCTCCAATCCTACAAAACAGTAAATAAATCTTTTTCTTAATAGGTTGTTAAGAATTCTCAGAGCTATTACCCTCACTGGGACGGCTCCTGTCTTTCATCGACAGTCCCAGAAAACGTTAAGACTCACAAAAAAGATACTCTAAAAATATCAATTCCTGAGTTGCTAAATGATGGATCTAGAATCAGGTTACTCCGAAATGGTGCTAAAACAGGGCGTGGGGCACAAAAGTTGATCTGAGTGCCCACTGTAGCCAATATAGTAATAAACCACCTATTTATCTTTCATAGTATCTTCCATCAGAGCATGTCAAAGCGTTTCCCAAGCATTCATCAAGCAAGGATCACAACGCAACTGCAGAGCAGCCCAGTATGGCCATTTCCACTTTCCAGAGGAGAAATGAGACTGGGAGAAGTCACCTGGCATGGCAATGGCAACACTGGACAAAGAGCAGTGATTTGCCTCACCCTTCTGTGCTTTAAGTGGCAGTCAGCATCATCTCCTCCCAAAGGCAGAAGTAGCTGGACTTCCCCAAGTACACACTTGAAAATTTACTCCTATAAAATGTGCCCCAAAGCCACAGAATACAGCCATCTTGTTCACAACAGGATGCCAATAGCGTGAAGAGAAGGAGTAAGCAGAATAGGAAGAAGCCATGTTTTACAGCTCTCTTCTGCCTCTAGAGATTTGTAAATTGCCTTCGGGTATTGATAGAAATTTTGCATCTTCCATTTATGGTGCAAATGGCCATCTGCTTCAACAGATTGTTTAAAAGAAATGGAGCTGTGGACAATCTGTCTCAGACTTTAGAGGTGAATGACTAACTTCATTTCACAATCAATTTCAACCAAATAAGATTTGCCTAATTTCCAGCCTGCTAACAGAACACGGTAGAACTTCTCTTTGCTAGATTAATGTAGAGGTGGGAGAAGGACAGCAAAATGTCCCTCTAACTATGACAACAAGTTCTGCTTTACTTGAGTGCCACCCTCAGGAGCAGACGTGAAGTGGAGGTGAGCTTACCTGTCAAAGATTCTCTGGGGCTGCATCATACTGTACATAACGTGGGTCATATGATCTTTAGCAGCAACAACCTCTGGAGGAGGATCGTATTTATTCACAGCAGCAACCTGTTTCCACAGTTTAGGGGCAAAAGAAAGCAGAGCAGTGACGCAATTGTTTCCAGCTGCAATACAGCTTCACCCTGAATAACGACGGCTTCATATTTATGAGGGTCAGTCTTTGCATTTGGCTTGTCTGTGAGCACTCCGCTACATAAATCTCTTCAGGAGATTTAAGCACAATTTGATAGATGGATGGAAGGCAGCCAGACGTAGCTCACCATCTTTAATATATTCAACCTTTTACTGGAAAGAAAACAGGATGCCACATAAGATGCAAAGTAATTTTGCTTAGGTTTTAATTAACCGTTAATTTGCATCCTCTCAGTGCTGGTGGAAGACGCCGAACTAAAAATCCTTAGGGACTGAAGCCATTCATTTATTCGTCAGAAGAGGAGCAGGACGGGCATTAACAAAGTAAGCAAACCGCAATTTTCTCCTGACCATGCAGTTCTGTCTTTCCTGTGAGGAGGAGCACTCAAACCCCAAGGATTCAAAACACTTCTGTACGCTCTGATGACATCCACGCCTGTACTAGCAAGCAGTATGATGAACAGGAGTGGATCCTTGAAGCAAAACATTCAGTACTTGGGACCCAATGTCCAGAATATTTTCCGGGAAGTGGGGGAAAGGAGCTCATTTCACTCTAGCTCTAGTTCAGTCCTTTGGCCTGGGAGTACATTGGGTGCAGCCTGGTGCACATCATCTGGTTAAGGTTAGTCCAAAAGAAGTCTATGTTGCAAGACTATTCCACAGTGAGTATCAAGCTGGTGCCTCCAAATTCAGTCTGATGAGAGAGTTTATGAGGCTAGAGTAGATGTCCTAAAATAACCCGAGGAGAGGATTTTCTGGAATAACTTTAGTCATCCAGAAGTTAAGTGCTAGTCTAAAGCAGTTATCCAGGCTTACTTTTACAGGCCATTGAGAAGGAAAAATTTCATTAATATATTTGATATTTTATTGGAAGGAAAACAGATTTCCACATAAGACAGAGAGTAAGATCAGCATCTGGGGTAGGTGGGGTAAATTACACTCCAGTATCACCCCTACCCTCTCAATGTTCATGAGAGAGAGAGCCTGTCATTAAACTAGAACCCTAATATTTAAGCAACTAAAGTTAGGAATAATGATTTTCACGTAAGGATCATTTTTAGAGGCTAATTCCCTGAAATCCAGCCCCAATTGGCAGCTGTTAATCCTAACAGTTCCAGGCATGGCTTGGGCCCAAATACTACATGCAGTCACCAAAATACAGTAAAAGCAGCACAACAGAAAGCTTCTGTAAGCAGTCTGAGCAGGTTTTTTTATGGGAGAAGACTTTACAGTGAAAGCTGTACGGAGCAGAACGGGAAACAAGCATCATTATAACTTTCAGAGTTCACTAAAAAATCCCAACAACTGTAATTTGGAAGTAGCACAGCGGTTATCACTTCAGAGCATTCAACGAATGCAGTTGCCTGTTCAGATTCACTAGCTGAGTAACAACGGCTGAACAAAGCTTTTAGGTAAGCTTTGCATTTTTACATACCACAACTGCCCCAGAAATTCTGTAGATATATATCTGGATTTAAAAGCAAAAGTCTCTGAATTTGTAGCCTATCTTGGGGCTGAAACATGGGAGATTTGTCACACCCAAATGACTATAAAGCTGCATTTGCACGCATAGGTTTTTATATTCTTCCTGTATTTAGAAAAACTCCAGAGTGATAGGAAGTTTACAAACCTTTTCTTCCACTGAAATCTTCTTGAGATCCAGTTCTGTTAGTTGGAGCAACATGAAAATCGTCAAGAGCCAATAATCTGTTTGCTCCTGAAGGACAAAGTTTCCACTTTGATATAAAGTACTTAACTTCCACAATCTAATGTTTAATTTCAATCAGTTGACACGAAATTGGCTTTGGTACATTGCAACATAGAAAGCTTTTCACCCTGAACGATGTCAATACACTGTATAAATTGAGCCCCCGCCACAAGCTTGGCTTCTGCAGCAAAAGTTAATAATTGTTCCAAAGGCTGCAACTACACTGTTTGAAAGGTCAAGATGGGATTTTAAAATCACCACCACACCCACTAGAACACCAAGAAAGCCTGCTGGAGAACTAAAATGGTTTTTATGTAATAAGCTATGGTTAATACTTCTAAACCTTAGTAGTACTGTAGAAACTTTAAAAAAGAAATTGCATTATAAATGCATCACCATACAGGCTTTTAAGTCTGAGACAATAAAAAAGAATAATTAAAAACCAAATTAAAAACCTGACACTGTCAAGTTCATGAAGCTTCTTAGTTCTAAAACCAGTAACGCCCTGTTAAAACAACTGAAATTTAGACAGCTCTCTTAAGATGATTGTTGCATGTATAAATTATTGAAACAGTAAAGAATCTGATCAGACTTTGCTTAGGGGAAGCACATCTAAATAGAAGGCGGCTTTCAGATTACAGAGGACCAGGGGCAGCCCATTTTGGGTGTTTTTTCACGCTAATGTCATTGTGTGCCATTCTTAGGAAAGCCAACACAAAACTGGCAATTACAGGAAGAGGAAGCTAAACCCTTAAGGTTTTCCTTCTTTCTGACATTGGAAATCACTGTAAAACTCACACAGAATTTAGAAATCACAAAAGTCTGGATGGAATAATCTTTAATCACTGAGGGCAAATGACAAATGTAGAGTCAAAGTCAGAACTTCTGATATTTTGCAAATGTCTTTGTAGTTGATAAAATGGATGTTTAATTCATTAATTGAGTAATATTATGGGAGCCATAAATGAGAACTGAGTAAGTCCTGAAGAAGATACAGGTTCCAGAGACACATGATTTTAAAAGGAGTACTATTAAGTTCCTTTGAGCTTTTACCAGGAACAATCGAGTACAGCCCTTCAAAACAAACAAAAAGGGGACCTTTTCCCAAACAAAAATCATGGCATACTATAAGGACAAATGCATAAATGGATTCACAATTGGAATTAAGAAAATTCATGGATTTGCTACGTGGCTATTAAACATCATGACTCATATGCAGCTTTGGTTCAGACCAAGTTCCCAGGCAAAGGTGGGTAACCATGCCAGGGAAACCATCCCCCATTTGTTCTTGTACTCATTCCCTGAGATGACCTGGCCACTCTCAGAGATAGAAACCGAGGTTAAATGGAGTTTGGTGTGATCCAAACCAGCAGTTTTAGGTTCTTATTTTTGGCTTTCTCTCCAGTTCTTTCTTACCTGTACAGGATTTTTTAAAAGATTTAGAACTCTGAGGAGAGGCAGATCTTCAATGCATTCAAGTTCACGTAGCTCAGCAATCTAATTAGTGACAGAAACAGAGCATAAATCAGAAGCACATAATCCATGATAACTATGGGGGAAAAAAGAGGTATTTTAATCCCTGCTCTTAAAATCTGGACATAAAAGAAAATCATTACACTCACAAAATGGGTATCCATGTTAACTGCGTTCAATAAGGCACTTCTAGTCACAAAAGGCAGACAACTTGGATGTTAGCTGGAGAAGCAGTATAATACAGGCAGCAATTTCAAACCACCTGCATTTTCCCAGTTCTTTCAAATGTCAGGCCCCAAACACATTTAGCTTTTATGTGGCTGATGTGCTTAAGTGAGGCAATTCTGCAGTTATATTTGCGCTTCAGTTGACTAGCAAAAAAAAAATTCCTCCCAAGAAGAGTTTCTTTTCACTGGAGCTCAGGTTCACCGTACGTAACCTGGAGCCTTTGAGTGAAAAGCATCAGCACAGTTGTCCTTGGCTGCCTGTATCCAGAGGGGGATGATCCCACTTACCGTCTCATCTATCCACGAAGGAAACCTGGGTTGGCTGCCCATCGGATAAGCATTAGAAGATACGTGGGATTAATCAAAGTTTGTGTGCCCAAAACAAAGGCACATAGAGGCACTCCTGCTAGACACTGGGCGAGCAGTTGTAAGGCTCTCAACTAAAATAAAATGGGTCAAATGGAATTCACGTCGCCTCGTTTAGCTATCTGTTAAGTCAATCGTTTAACCTCACTTAATAACCAGTGGAGAGAGGCAGTTCCAGAGGCCATCTGATCCACGGTGGGCTGGGAAGACTTCAGATTCTCTCCCTCACTTATATTCAGCTTATGTAAAGTGTCTAAAAACATGAACCTCAACCATAGGCTATCCAATATTCACGTTGAGATAACAAGAAGCCCACTGTGGAACAGTTTTGACCAAGTTAAATGTGATTTGGGTGGATTTCCTGAATAAATCATAGAATGCCAGCTGTCCATGTTTGAAAATCACTGAACAGGTACATGAGACACAGTTTGCAGACAAACCTATTGTGGGCATTTTTGAAAAAAAATCAAGCTATTAAGATCATTCTGGGTGGCTGAGAGCTGAAGGAACTCAGATCTTTCTGTGTTAATTAATTAAAACTCTCTTTAAATTATTCTTCAGAAGGAAATGTTCAAAAAAATGGTGACTCATTAAACAGTTTCAATAACATCATTAAAAGAGGCAAATTTTGATGAGGTAAAATTAATAGCTTTTGCATGCTGTAAAGAACAGTGGAAACTATATGAGGCAATGGCAGTGGTGTTATTAATGCTAATAGCAACCGTACTAGTAGTTTCCTGTCTTGTGCAATTGATGTGCCTTCAAATGTCAACCTGAACACAGTGTGAGAAAAAGAATTCATAGTGTCTTGAATTAAATCCTGTAAATGTGTCTTGCAAGCGAGGAAAAAAATGACAGAAAATTTTCAATTCCTGGTTTATATTTTTATTTCTTATTTTCTTAGGGTTTGGGGTTTTTTTTTCCACATGTCTTTGATGTCAAAATGAGTCATAAATTGACAGACTTTTCAGTTAAGTAACCTGGAAGATCAATTTCAAACATAGTATGCATATATGGCTTGGGTATCAAAATTCAAATACAAATGAGCTGGACTGTATCATTGTACTTCCAGTGAAAATTCTGCTGCATAACAAAAGCCACTTTATAATAGGGTACATGCAGTTCTGCCTTACAGGAAGTTTCCAGCTGAGAGCTCAGAAGAATCCGTGGTCATAAAATTGGCTGAGAGATATTAGCAAACCCTCCTGAGGCCTGGCAGTAGAAAAGCTGTGATGTAAGTAAAGATCCCCAAGAATAATCAAGCTGAAAAAGCTGCATACTCATCCCTACCTTATCCACTCAAGGGAGCACTGTTAGTTCTTTATGTACGTGAGCACTAAATACTACAAAATTGATACCCACATAAAGATAAGCCCATCTAGAGATATTAAATAAGGCCTGAGGAGTACACCATCAATCAAGATGTGAAACAGCATTGGAGTGAAATACCAAAGGAATAAATGTCATCGATTCTAACATTCATTTCTTGCAGTGTTGTAAGATTTTTTGATTAAGCCTTAAAGGAAGGGAACTCTAGAAAAAAATAAATGAATTATGCATTCTTAGAAAAAGCTGAGATAAATATTAAGTATGCTACCTGGTTATCTTCTAGGTTGATCATCTCTAGTAGATCATGTCCCCCCAAGCCTTCTAGGCTAGTTATTTTATTGCTAGATAGGTCCAGCTTCTGCAGAGTTTTCAAGCTGTCCAAGCCAGTTATCTTCTCAATCTGGTTAGAGCTCTAAGAAGAAATGAAAGCATATAAACTGCTGATGAAGTTCTACAGATGGAAAACAACATTCCTGAGGAAGAACAGAGTTCACTTGATTACGGAGAATCCTATTACAAACAGGCCTTTAATGCATTAGCCCCATCTTCATCTTGAGATGACATATTACAGCTTTCCATACCGCTCAAGGAAAAAGGAATCAACTATCTTCTGATTAACTTATCTTCAACCCACCTTGAATAGCAGCGAGAGGCCCCAGCAATAAAAAAAGAGCTCTAGAGTTCTTTCAAAGCTGATACTGGCTAAAGGATACACTTGTCACTACCCAGCTCAAAAGTGAGAAGATAGATATGCACATAAAATTACAGCATATATATACATAAATACACAGAATTTGCCTCTGTAATCATGGTTACATTTACACTTATGACTACAGAATAAATAATGAAAATATTAAGGCAGAGCAATACAGTACTGTCCTCTTTGGACTACAGGCAGTCTATAAAAATGTCTCTAGGATACACAAGTTCATCTTAACGCACACTAAGTGAAGGCAGACTTTATTTACTGCCAGTGACAGCATGCACAGAAATGGGAAAAAAAAAAAAACCAAACCCACCTTACTGTAAGTTCACCTGGACTCTAACACCAGAAACGACCCAAGCTTTTGAGAACTCGTAACCAACTATCATTGTTTTACATTCCTTCCTTGTACGAGGTACAAGACAGAAGACCTACATTTATCACTGGACACCAGATGGCTTCATTTCTTAGGGCCTCACAAATCACACACTTGTTTCTGTTGCGAACTCCAAAAAGGTATAACACGCTAGGTTCTGTACTCAGCTTTGTCCCAGCGGCCACACGTACCCAGATGGCGTCTCAACATGATTCTTTCTGTATAACCTTGCAAGTTATATTTTTCCATCAGTATCACCTTGTGCTGAGAGCTTAGAAGCCTCATATTCTATTTATAAATATTTAGGGACTATTGAAATAAATAAGCCAGCTGACTCTAATGTTAATCCAGTTGTCTGTCCTTGACATTTTTCCTGACTTTTAAATGTTTAATTAGGTTATTAATAGCAAGGAGGCTCCCTCCTCTCTTCCTGTTCTTCGTTAGACCTCTGTTTAATAGGGTACAGCTCAGAGCTCTAGCTGCAAAATGCTATGCAAGAGGTGCATATAAAATTCTGTGAACAAAAGGGATTTCTGTAGAGAACCTTTTTTTTTTTTGCAGAGCATAAAATTCCTAAGAGTCCGGTTCATTAGAGCTGCACTTCTTATTTTTTTTTGCAAACACAAGCAGTATAAAGGCTTTTTTGGTACAGCTAGGCAGTATTTACAGTTTTTGAAGCCTTTCTTCCCAACTTCAGACCTTACTACTCTTTCAACCTAAAAAGCTCAAGGGAAAACGGAAAAGAAAGCTGAATCAAAGGGAAGGGCGGGGACGACTGCTCCCATGAAAAAAGAACGGCATTTTATTCTAATTAGTAAAAGAAAATGCTATGCTAAAACCTATCTATTTACATAATTTCCACATGACTATCTACTTTGCTAATTAAAAAAGACAAGCAGTTGTATAAATAACCATATCAGCATGTAAGAACCAAAACTGAAGAACATGTTCATGTTAATAAGGCTTAGCTGTTAACACAACCTCCAAAACATTTTACGGAGCAGATAACCATTCCTAACAGAATTATTATTAGGCCTCTTAACTGATGAGGAAATCCGCAACACAATGGTTGAGTGACTTCTTGTAGCTCTCCCTGAAGAAAGTCTTCAGGGAACAGATCTTCCCATCAGCTTACTCCTACAGCTCATTTCAGAACTTTTGACTCAGATTGGCAAAATCTTGTCTAATCTACTAAGAACGAGACAAAATTCAGTTTGATTGCCACTAAGGGCACAACTGAAAGCTACTGAAGGCATTATATATCTGAAATAGAAGGATATTAAAAATACGTTACTCAACTATTTTAACATACTATCCAACACATACTACTGCCCAGTTTTAAATGTGAATACCTTTCCTGAACATTGAAGCAGTAATAAGTACTAAGGCTAATCAGGCCTTGATGGGTACAGACCTTAGTTATTCCTCTCTGTACCAGAACAGAAGAAAAATCTTTAAAATTTTAAAAGGATTGGAAAAGAATATTTCTATTCCTGATAAGAGATTCATTCGCTTTACCTAAAATATTTATGTAGGTGCTTAAAACTAATGTAGCAAATACGAGCATATTTCTACGTATAGTTTTTTGGTACTCATTTTTAAAATCCCATTAAATATTGTTCAAATGATTATTACAGAGTAAAACCTATTCAGAAGTAGCCTGCTGTATTTTACAGCAACTGAATTGCATTAAACGTAGTTTTTGCTCGTGTTTCTGCACAAGCTCTACATTGATGGCTCTTCCTATGAACTATCTCGAAACGAAAGCATTGGTATTAGGGACGTTTTACAAACATGGAACTGGAGAACACCGAGATAAATGCCTGTAAAAGAGCAAGATGCCTGCAAAGAGGCAGACCGAGGCCTGTGTTTGGGCTAGCTATCCTTGGCTATCTTCATAACCCACAGAGAGAGGGGCTTCCGAGGCCTGATACATCTTGTGTTAATGTAGATGTCAGCAGCTGGATCAGAATAACAAAGTATTTTCAGTGTCTGTTTCTCTCCACTGACTTTTGAGGCAGCAGAGAACAACTTGCTCAGGTGCAGATGCCTACGCTGCAGAAATCTGAGGCCAGATAAGAGAAATCCCACTAAGGCATCTAGAAATATAACCTAGAAATGTTATCTTTTAACAAATATACCCGAGATATCTTGATGCAAAGCTGGCAACATAAAGCTTCCTACCTCATTACAAGATCCTTAAAAAATTAAGCCAAGATCCTTTAACAATACATCAGATTTGCATACTAAGCTTGACTTGTTCTCTAAAACGAATCCAGTACTCACTTTTCCCTCTCCTGTCCTATCTTACTGCTGTCATGGACACAACTTGATGAGGAAATGTACTTCAAAAAACCCAAATTCATTGTTTGTACTGTGGGACTCGCACAGTAAGTCGCTTCTCACACGTCACCTAAGCAACAACAAAACCCACCCAGAGCAAATGCAAAATATCTTTGGAGAAATTCAAAACCCAGCAAGACACGGCCCTGAGCAACCTCCACTGAAGACGGCTCTGCTTTGAGCAGGAAGCTGGTTCAGATGACTTTCACGGCTCCCTTCTAACCTACGTTGTTCTACCATCCTCTGTTAACTAAAAAAATGTGTCCAGTATTAAAAATATCTCTGAAAATTTGTTATGTAATCACCTCCACATTTATTAAGGCAGTAAGATATTGATAAAAGACAGACAGGAAAACAACTAGAATTCTTTCTTACCAGATTGAGTATTCTGATAGGTAAATTCTCAAGGCCACTGACTGCAAAGAGTCTGTTGTGTGACAAACTCAGATGAGTCAGACTGTGACACTTCTCCAGGCCTCTTATCTCCTCGATGTTATTAACTGTACAGAGGTTTTTGCACTTAAGGAAAATAACCGAACATAAAACCTTAGCAATAACTAGTTGCTAAATTAGCCAGTGGAGCTGAAGTTTATGGTTCGGGGAGCTGGATGCCAAATGCTTCATGCTAAGGAGTTTTAAATCCCAGCGGCTCCCACCCACCCCTGTTCTGGATCTTACTGTCTCCTTGTTTGACTGACACAACTTTTTGTAAGGCAGCAGGACAAGCGACACTGATCCAGATAGAAATATCCTCCGCTCCTTTTTGGAGGGGTTTTTAACTCTGTTTCTGGGGCCTGGTTTAGAGCACAGCCCTTCAAGCTGACGGCAAATGAAGAAAGTAGTGAAAAGGAGGGAACAGGAGCGTGGGGAAGAAAGTACTTCTGCCAGCATCTTGAAAAAAATATGCTGTAAATCTCCAGTCTTCTTGTCAGATGCACATATGCAGGGTAAAACATAGGGGTATCTATGTCTTGGAATTTAACTGAGCACCAGTCATGTTAGGGCAGCTGTAGAACCAGCCCATGGCTGATTCATCAGAGGACGGTGTGATCTTTTTATGTTTACAGAGTACTTAACGTGGCTCCAAACTGACCTTGACCTCCAAGCATCATACAGAAATTATCCAAGTCATAACAGGCAATAGTACTATATGGGGCTATTTCACTCCAAATTATACCTGTTCTATACCTGCCATCTGTCCTGAAAAGGGAAAGTCTATTTTAAATTAACATTAAAAGCAAAAAGCAGCAGTACAGGTAGTTAGGATTCCTCTCAGCAAACTTCAGCATTAACATAACTACCCAGACCCCTTAAACAAAGCGTGTTTCCTTTGGCAACAAGGCACCTCAGGTTGCTCTCCTACAATGGGATGAAGCACAGAGGTACCCAACTCTCTATCTCTCCACTGCGCCGAAATCAGGTAACTCTGATCCAGGCATCTAATTGTTTGGTGACTGAAGATAGGCAAGAAGAATTGCACTTGTAAGCGTCCAAGCTGGAACTAGTTACATAAAAAGACCAAGAAATATCACTGAAAGAAAGTACCCAGAGCATGCAGGACACGAGAAATGTCTTTCGGCAATCGCAGAAGAAAACATTTTTAATTGGCTTGAGAGAACGAACTCTGCCTGCAAAGAGGGACAAGCGAATTTTCATTCATGTTTCTAGTCTCACCAGGCAGTTGGATGAATTATCAGGATTTTTTTCTCTCTGAATGATATTGTAACCATACAAAACGTAAGCTTAGCCAGGGCCAACAGAATACTCTTTAACAGCTGTGACCTAACTCTGGTTTTTTCCTAACTCCATTCCTGCACAGGGACTCCACTCACAGGCTTAGATGGGGAAGGAGAGGAGGAGAAATGAGCTGGTAAGCACAGATATATCTTTTCAGAGGACCTCACACCAGGCTGCCTCTGTCATTTTAGAAAAGAAACCAAACCCACCCACAGACAGCGGTATTTAACAGATATTAACTGATTCGCTTACAAAATGGGGCTGCTTCTCTTTCAGCTGGGGAGGAAAAGCTTTGGTGAGGACAAAAATATTGTTTCATCCATAAGCATCAATAACAGGCAGAAAATTGCTCAGCACTAAAAATTAATACAATCCATTTTAGTCTTTTAATGACTCACTATAATGCTTTTTTTTTTGCCCAAGCTGTCTGCCTTTCTGGTTTGGGCATTTTCCTCCCGGAAAATTCATTTATAAACCTGTCAGGTGTGCTTGTGTGTGCACCTGTCAGAAAAAAAAAGTTACAATGACCTTACCATCTGCATCGTAATTCACTTAAATACGGTAAGAAATGCTTAGTTACTGTCAACGAGAAATGCATGCCAAACATTTCCACTACTGCATGATATTTAATAGAGTATTCTCATTTATGATTACAAAGACCAGCTTGTTTTGTCTGCCAGGTCTTTGGCGAGGAGTGCTTGACACGGGTTAGGAACGCTGCCACTTTGCTATTTTAAATTCTGGACTCCCACCTTCCGCACTCATTTCCCTCTATTTCGGAGGGCCCTGTCGCAACTGTACGCATGAAACAGCTTTTCCTCCCCGTTTCAATGGCGTTGACAAACGAAGAAATGGAAGACAGCACGCTGCTGCATTGAAACCAAATGAAAAAATACTGATTCCAGCCCACAAGACAAATCTCTGATCTTTCTTCCTTTTCATTTTGCCGTATGTTTTTTTTGCTCTGTGATGGGAAATTAGAATTGCAAAGGGACGGCGCCTCGATGCCATTTTCTGACAAGAATCGTGTCACCTGCACACCTTGTAAAACCTGTGAATAATGTAACCTGCAAATGTTTTATCTGCTCCTACATGAAAAAGGCATTGTATTAATATCGTTTGGTAATGGGCTACTTGGAGGACAAGAGGCAGAGAAAGAACTGCAACAGCCTGCTGTCTTCTCCTTTTCAGAGAGCAGAAAATCAAGATGCAATTTGTGAGGCACAGAGGAGAGGTTCACGAGCCCTCGGGAAGCAATTGTAAGTAAGGCAGCAGGCAAACACGAAATTCCAGAAGATCTTTCAGAAAAGCACTGGAGAATCTTTAGGGAGCCTAAGAGCTCTATGGACAGCCTTGGAAAAGTAAGGAATGAAGCAACTTAATCTGCTAGTTGGTGTTTTATCTGATTTCTGCCAGCATGGTGTTTCTAATCCCAGAGACTGAGTGCCCCAGTAAGAGGGTGGAAGGTGGGCAGCAGAACACCTCCGCTCTGTGCGCCTCCCTCTGCACGCTCCTCTCACTTAAAGATTGTCTTCATTGTCATTAAACAGCCTTGTCCTCCACAGAGCCACTACAGTCCCCGTGTAATTAGCTATGGCTAAGATTAAACACCATGCACCTTTTGCACTGAAGGGAGCTTAGTGTTCCAAGCTGCTTTCCTATTAACCTTTCATATACAAAAATGCTGGGATTATTTATTACCTCTGCCGTGCAAAGACAGCGTGACATGTCACTTTTTCAGTTTTACACGATGCAAAGTGGAGGTTTTTTTGTGTTCCTCAAGCAAGCTAACACCTTACACAGATACACAACCACCTTTAACATCAGGCATGCTTGAGTAAATTAAGATCAGTTTCACCACCAGAATTACAATGTTTAATCTTGCTTCTAAAGCCAACACTGACTTGAAGGAAAACCACAAAGAAAACAGCTATCTATTTGAAGCAAACGGCTGTTCAGAAAGCAAACAAGCCAACTTTTCTCCCATTCAAGTTTCCGTAAAGGATACAATCCAGCAAGAGTTTAGTAAGTGACTGGTACGCTGACAAATCTTGCATTTTAGGTATTTGATTGTACGAAAAATCTACTTCCTAAAGAAAAAAAGGAGATAGAAAGTCAGGGGTTTTTCTTCAGCATTTACAGCTGTCTTGTGAAACTAAACAGCTGTTCAGTTAAACTTGTGATCAAGGATGTGGAAGAAATAAGATCATTAATATTGGGACATAAACAGGCTCTTTTTTATGACACATAGAATTCACATTTTGAGACCCTCCAAAACTATACTTTCTTCCAACAACATTAACAGTCCTGTAATTACTCACACACATTAAAAAACCTAACACAGAAGTCAGAGAAATACGTAAAGGTCGTATTTCAAAACAACCTCCTGCTTTTTATAACCCAAAGTGGGCTATGAGCAAACAACAGCAAAGGGAAGACTGGCACACAGCTACACTGCAAGTACGTGCTCACAATAACGACTGGCACCAGTCAGCTTGAAAGGCAGGAACTGATCCCACTAAAGATCTGATGAATTTGACAAGCAAGGAAAAAATTCTGGCTATATTTACCTCTGGCTAGAACAGTTAGCTGTACAGCACACCTTTCCATGGCATGCTGGGGTTCAGAGTGTGAACGGAAAGACTGAAACAAGCAGTGTAAAATACCCAGCCATTTGGAAAAGCTATTAAAATGTCAAATGAAGTAAGAAAGAAGACTAAGGAAGGCATAAAAATTCACTTTTGCACATGTCTAAATACATTGTCTAAATCCAATTTAGTTTTGAATTTAATCCTATGAAATGCTTTTTTTTTTGCAACTTACCTTGAGATTTTTAGGTGGTTTAAAACCAAAATATGTAGTCAATTCATTGTTGGAAGCACTCAGTTCCAGTAGGTAAGGCATGTGACTGACACAAGAAAGATCTAGTAACAAAATAAAAGGTCAAATCCTGTACGTGAATGCATAGGTAAATGCAGAGATCATCATGTCAAATCATGCTAATTACGTCCAACAGCAATCACGCATCCATTTGTAGTTACACATTCAGAAAGCGATGTTTGAAATGCAGAAATCAGACATATTCGCACCTTCTACCAGGAAAAAAAAAATGGTTTGTAAAGCATGAAGAATAAATATTCAAGTTTTACATTAAATTTCCATTATGTTGACTGATTTGCCTATAAGCCAGAATATAGTTTTATATTCTGGCTACCTCTAGAGTGACAGAGAGACTACCTCCGTCCTAAGTTATTAATTAGTAGAGAAAAGGATTTAGGCCACTACTGAAGACTAAACGACTAGTTGCTAAGGAAAAGTCCCCGCTCTGCTCAGACCCAGCCTTCACAGACAAACTGTGAGCAAAGTGAGCAGGGAGAAGCGCCACATGACAAAAGAGCTGCTACTACTGCTCTCCAGCACCTCACGTGAAATGAAGGAAATAAGGCAACACTGCCCACCACAGCTTATTCCTTTTGATGTTAAACCAAAAAAATGAGTCGGGGAGTACAAGGGAGAGCGAAGGAGAAGACGATGATGGAGTTTACCCCAGTCTCCATTTGTTCCCTTTCTATCCAGGATATGATTTTCTACATTTTGTCACCAGTGGGAAACCTTGACAAAAGAAAGCCCGAGGCTGGGAAAACTGTACCAGCCATAACTTTAAATCTTACAGCGTCTGCACAGGTAAAATCTCAGCCTCAACCTTGGATTGACATGCTTGCTTGCATTTTATCTTCGGATAATAAACTGGACAATAATCTCCATGTTCATGCTGACAAACATATGCTGGTGCAGCTATCTGAATTGTCCACACATCATTCTCAGGAAGATCTAGCCATCGTCTCGTTCTGCAGAGCTGAAGTAGTTACACCATTAAAACGTAGACCAGGCTTGGTGATACTAAAGCTACATGGTACAGTGCACTTTCTCATCTTAAATGATTTCACAACCCGAGAATTTACTAGTGTATTTACTACATACCATTAATTTTATTATATGAAAGTTCCAGCTTCTGTAGGTGAATATATCTGGAGAGAATGTTAATGTCACTCAACTCACGACCCTGGAAAAATAAAGCAAAGAGACTTTAATAACCAGCTGTACAACAGCAGCCGCTCTCCCAAGACACACGCAGTAGCAGAAGACATTGAAGAGGTGCCCCAAGGTCACGTGGCAGAACAGGGTGACATATACAGAAAGTGATGTTAGACCTGCAGACCAGCCATGAATGGAGAAAATGTCCAAAGATGACTTTAAAACACAACCAGGAGACGTAGCTCTAGCTAGGAAAAAATGCCAGAGAAACAAGGCTGCATAGAAAAGGGAGCAGCAACAAGTAATCTTTAAAAAGACACAACCATTTTAACTTTCTGAAGGGGCAATGAATGCAGCATTCTCAGGTGTTCAGCATGTTCCTCTATTTTCCTCTCCAGCTGACTGAAGCAGGAAGATACATTTTCACACCCAAAGATTGGGTAAGGAAAAAAAATATCTTACTGCTGTTGCTACTAAGTGAAAAAAACAGTATGGGTATGGCAGCTGTCAGCAGGAGCCATGCTGTGTCTTGTCAGAAGTCGCATGTACACGAGGCAGCACTGACAGGTAGAGGCAAAAATCTTCCTTCTTGAAATTTTTTTACTAGACCAACTATTTGCTGTTAAAAAGAGGAAACCTTTGAGCAGAGCAGCACTTTACAGTGATGTTCTTTGCTTATACTTACTGAAAGCGACAGGTTAAGATAAACGTACTCGATACCAGGGGCTGAGCGCCCCAGCTTGTGGAGACCCTCAGCCACAGTGTCTTCATCCAACACTCCATCAAACTGACCCTATAAAACACCAGAAAGTGGGGGGTTTTTTGGGGGGGCCAGGGAGAGGAGTGGATTAAGGGGAGATTTATGAAAAGAAATTCCACACTCGGTAGAATCTGGGGGCTGCTTGGGATGCAATCAGGAACAGAGTTTAATAAAAGTCCTCCATCAAACGCTGCTTTTGGTGCTCCATCACCCTAATAAGGCACTACACATTAGGAAAAATGATGACTGCAGCCCTCAAAACAGATAAATAGAAACATGTCATGTACTACCTCTATACATTTTAAAAGGTTCAACAATTTTTTGTTGTGGTTTCTCTTTTTTTTTTTTTTTAACCTTCTGGTTTAAATACACAGCTCTAAACAGGCCCCGTTTCCAGAGGTGTTGAGCCACGAAACTCACATCGATTATGGATGTTAACATCTCAGCAAACCAGCACTAACATAACCCCAGTGTTGCACCCCAATATGCACATTATTGGAGGCCCTTTAAATTTGTTCAGCACGAGCAGCCAGTGCTACTCTTCAGAGAACAATCTCTGCCAGAGAGGGTACTTGACAGATGGCACTAATGAACCACTGCGCAGGTTTAATGAGAAAATAAGCCAATGGCTTGTGAAATTCCTATAAGCTTGGAGAAGTCAGACAACAACTGCTAATCTAGGGACCAAGATAAATAATGTTTCAAACGGCAACCATCTAAATTATAGCACCTACATGTTATAGCAACGGAGACTACAGATGCATTCCCACCAGGTAAAAATACAAGGTGATAATGCTGTGGCAGTGTCCACTTTAGAGCCCAGCAGAGCAGGGAGAAAAAATTTGCTTGCATCCAAGGGCTGCTTAAATCTCAGGGCTGGGCATATGAAAAGGAAAGGGGTTTAATTTAGCCATCCATATGCCATCTTATCCTTCGCTTTTATATAGCAAGGAGAGAGAGGGGCAATCCAGAACTATCCTGGACACCAGGGACCGTAAAAAAAAAAAGGCAGAAATGAGAATAAGGGGGGAAACAGACCAAACCAGCCTTTCCCTTCTTTGGAGAAATGAGAAATCACTCCCTGGTGCCCCCACTGACTCCTCCTTCTTTCCCCTCGCAACTACACTGAGTGATGAGGGAGGAAAGGGCTGTCCTCTCACAAGCACACCCCTCCCCAAACAGCTGGGGGGCACTGAGCTGAACCTCTGGGTGCTGGGACTCCTCTTCCTTTTCGTCGCCGTCCTCCTCCTCCT